CTCTGATGCGAGCGTGGCAGCGTGAACTGCGTGAACGCTTTCAGCGCTTGACTGCTGCTTCGTCCCTGGCGGCAGCAGCATGGCGCTGTAGACACAACCCATGTGCACATCCCGAGGTGCTGCGCTACGCGAGACATTCCTTTTTTGGGCAATCACAGTCACCTGTCTCTATGACAGCACAAATACCACCTGCGCAGCGGCTTCCTACGCGTGATCGATCTGTTTTCTTGGCGCATTTTGAAGCAATGTCGTGTTCGGCCATGCGGACTAACTGTGATGAAACACCGCCAATGCTTAGAAGTTTGCCCCGTATTCCTCAAGAAGTTGCAGATTGCCTGCACATCCCTCCGTCGGCTGAAGAGGTAAAGGTGGCACTGAAATCTATGAAACGTGGAACGGCCCCAGGGCCAGACGGTTTACCTGTTGAGTTTTACTTGACATTTTGGGATGAGATTGGTGCTACAATTACCGCGGTAATCCGGCGATGCTACGAGGACGGTGTCTTTCCATCAAGTTTTCGAGATGGACGCATTGTGCTTATTCCAAAGGGTGATTCTTCCTCTGTTAATCCTGAAGATTGGAGACCTATCACGCTCCTCAACGTTGACTATAAGATATTCGCGGCGGTAGCCGTTCAACGTTTGAGGGGTCTGTTGAACACCCTAATAGGTCATCACCAGACTTCATCAGTGCTTGGACGAGAAATACACAGCTTGTCATATACGACACGGGATATCATAGCTTATACTTTGTCGCGATCTGCGCGTGGTATCCTTGTGTCTTTGGACCAGGAAAAAGCGTTTGACCGACTAGAGCACGCGTATATCTTTAAAGTGCTCACAGCCTTCGGCTTTTCTCATTCGTTTGTGGAAATGATTAAAAATACGTACACTGGTCTGAAAAGCACACTAGTTCTGGATGGTTGGGAAAGTGCTGCCTTTTCCATAACACGTGGGGTCCGTCAGGGTTGTCCATTGTCTCCTGTGCTATTTGTCCTCAGCCTTGAGCCATACTTGCGTGCTCTTGACGCGGATTCACGTGTCCGGGGTCTTGCGCTTCCTGGTAGCGGTGTCGTGAAAGTCACAGCTTTCGCTGATGATATAACCCTGTACCTTTCAGATGAAGATAGCCTTTCACGCAGCCTGCATGTATTTTCCCAGTATGGCGACATTTCAGGTGCAGCGTTGAACATCTCCAAATCCCGGTATTTCTTCATTGGCTCTCCAAACTCCAGGCTTAGCGCCGGTGTTCCCATTCAGCCGGCCGCGTCCCTTCGTATTTTAGGTATTTCATACAATCACTACGGCATTTGCGAATCTGTTTGGTAAACGCTCTCGAGGAAGTAAGACTGAAAATTCAGGATGCACAGGATTTTGACTTCCCGCTTCTTGAGCGGAGGTACCTTGCGCAGACTGTATTTTGCGGTCGCATTTGGTACCTTTCTCACGTCGTGCAACCATCTTTACGTATCGTGCGATCACTACAGTCTGCTTTGTGTTCCTTTTTTTTTGGTCAGGCGGCACTGAGTTGGTCTCTCGCGCGGCACTGGGACAGCAGCGTGCTCAAGGAAGCTTTGCTTTCCGTTCAGTGTCAATACGCTGTCGGCTGCTGGCACTGCGTTTCCTTTTGCGCCTAGTGCAAGGGGAGGAATCTCCCGCACGAACGCTTGCATATTACTTTCTGGGTACTCACCTTCGCCATTTGATGCCTAATGTGCAACTTAACAGGGGGCCACAGTCAATAACACTTCCTGCGTTTTATGCAACAACTGTTGCATTTTTTTCGCCATGTCAAGTCGAGCTGTCCTGGCATAGATGTTTTGAACAACCACATAGTTGAGACAACTGCTGCTTTGTTGCTTCCGTTGGTCCCGCCAGCCCGCCGTGCTCGCTCTAGACGGGTGTCTTGGAGCTCCTTAACGGCTTCTTTTCTGCCTGGACACCTTCGGGACTTCATGTGGCGCCTGGGATGGGGTGTACTTCCCACTCTCGACCGCCTCGAAAGGTGGAGAATAGTCCAGTCAGCAACATGTCCGAACTGCTCCCTTCGGGAAACAAATCAGCATTTTCTGAGGCATTGCATCATTGCTCGCGTTTTTTGGAGAGCCGTACATGCTGGATTTCCCTGCCTCAGAGTAAATCGCTTCGTTTCTTCTGGGCGTTGTTCGCGAGGCCGCTTCGCTTGTCTTCTCATTGTTGCCGGCGCTTTCTGCCTCTGGCGCAACCGCTGCGAGGCGGTTGCAGCGGGCCGCCGCCGCCGCGCGCTCTACCCGATCCTAGAACGATTGTACTCGGAGCTGCTGTCTGTTTTGTCGGAGGAGCTCTTCTTCCTCGGTGAAGAGGAATTTCTTCGGCACTGGTCTTGCCCTTTTGTGTCGGTCTATGACGGACGAGTGAAACTTGTCTTTCGGCCGGCCTGGTATTGGTAGGCTGAACTGTCGATGTGCCGGCAAAAATGGCATGCCAACATGTAAATATGCAAAATGCACATATTTATGTTTTATTTGTCTCTTGTTTACCTTGAAGTATTTTGTGGTTGTGTTTGAGTGAACCATCGAATGTACATGTTTTTTCAACGTCATCTCATATCCATGTTCATGTAAATGACGTCTGTCTTGTCATCATCGTTAGAGTATGTCTAAGACGGAAATGTTCTGTTGAGTGTTATTGACGTTTGTGGCAATAAATTTTTTCTAAACACATAATGCCGCATGTTGTGAAGGCCTACGGGACGGCTCTATTCTCTCCCATAGTAGATTACCTAGTTCTCTAAATCGTTAACCACTTTTTCTAAACACACTAAGTACCAAGTACTTGGAATCATTAAATATTATTTGTAACCCCTTCCCCCCCCCCAACATATTCACTGGGCCTTATTTTGAGCCTGATCCTCTTAGAGGATGACTATAACTGATTACGAGGTTTTGTACTTGATTAGGCGGCGCACATCGTACACGTGACGTTGGCCGAAGGTTCACTGTAAACATGTACCAAGTACTTAGAATCGTTAAACATTTTTTTGGTGTGTCTGTGGAAGTTGTGTTCCGTTGCAGTGTATTGTTGGATTGTAATTGATGTTCACTGTCCATGAGAATACATTTTTTAAACACAGCCAACATTTGCAAAGCGTTCATATGAAAGCAGGAAACATGGTGGTCGCCTCTCTGGGAGGCATCTCTATAGTTGTTCTAAGAGAGCTGTAGGAATAGAACTGCAACACGCAACGAGTTTTTAAATGTGTTCGCCGTGGCATGTGATAAATACGTCAGCAGGTAACGTCATGATGAGGGCTACCTATTTAAAAATTGGCCCCGTATCTGCATGTTAATCTGCAAATGTCGTCGAAAGACGATAGTCTTGCGTGTGGAGAGAGTGAACAAAACATTTATTTGATGTTCTGCGCAAGAAAATAATCGGTGAATGGTATTCTGGAGGCGCTGCATTAGAGTGCCTCGAGCGTGCAGCGGAGGTGAACGAACGCATCAAGTCACGCCACATGTGAGCGTCATCTATGGCAGTTTTCTTAGAAAACAAAGCGCGTGGCTCTGAGACGGGTGTGCGCGCCCGTCTCAGAGCCACGCGCTTTGTGTAGAACGCAAGACGACGAGTAGGTGCCACCACCGTCTCGTCTTAGCAAAGCGTTGGAAACACTTGCCTTTTCATGCAAGCGTTGCATGGTCAGCGCAGCGTGAAAAGCGCCACAGTCCTTAAAATTACTTATGTATGCCTTTTCTAGTAAAATACGCGCATGCAGAATATATACGTGTTGTTATGGTGCCCCAGACATGCGCAATAATTGCTTTTGAATAGACAATTGGACAAGTATTAACGCTGAAGCTTGATCAACGTTGATGGGCGCCGCAGATGGGGTCGGCCGTTTTAAGTACCCGCTGCCGTTAAGAGTGGACAGACAGACAGACAGACAGACAGACAGACAGACAGACAGACAGACAGACAGACAGACAGACAGACAGACAGACAGGCAGGCAGGCAGGCAGGCAGGCAGGCAGGCAGGCAGTCAGACAGACAGACAGACAGACAGAGTCAGACAGACAGACAGACAGACAGACAGACAGACAGACAGACAGACAGACAGACAGACAGACAGACAGACAGACCAAAATTTTTGCGTCGAAGGTCCCGAAGAAATACTGTCGTCGTTTAAATCACTAAAAGCTCTCGCGGGAGTTCAAGTGGATACACCAGGTCCAATCAAATCGAGACCAACGTTATTTCTATTAGCCTCCGTACGCACACACCACCACAGCCCCTAGCTGGTATAAGCGTTCATTAAGAACGATGCATAAAAAAACATTAAGAGACAGTGTGCAGAAGAAACAAAAACATTGACGTAGTTAGCAGTTGAAGATTTTAATGAGATATGCATACAAATACAATACAACAGGCCTACAGTCGTGCAACGCAACATATACTACATGTTCTAAACAACACACATGTATACAACAGGAAGAAAAGAGAGCTGAAAGAGTTTGAATTTATTACAAAATTCATCAGATGGCTTCAATTAGATCAGTAGTTCATTTTTGTCTTTTTTTTGACATTGTAGGGATAGAACGTTATATGAAGAAACACACGGGTGTGTTTGCCGCGTTTCTTTGTTTGTTGATTCCATTCGATGGTCCCGTTTTTTCATCAGACGTACGCACTGAGTTATCAAGGCCTCAGTTTTTATACTTGTTGACTTCCCTGTAGTAGTGGGCCTGTATAGTATATATCTCTCGGAAATAAAAAATCGCCTTAACCTTCGTTTTTCAAGACCACCAATACTGCGTGTTATTGCCCATAGCCTGCAGCTTAGCGAAAACGCATGCGCAAAACAACAACAAAAAGGAAGTTACCCGAATTTGTACATTGATGGTTGTATTCTAATATGCAATAACTTTCAGAAAAATGTGGCGTGAAAATTACGTCCAAACCGAAAGGTAATGGGAGTCGTAGATCGGAAAGCCAAAAACCACTTCCTGTAATGAATGATTACCTTGATTCTTTCAGAACGAACCCCAATGATCGCTACTGTTAACTATCGTAACGTACGTTGCCCTCAGTGATTGATCGTTGAAGTTTCCGTTGTTAAGCCTGTTGTGTTTTTTTTTTTCTCTTCTTCAGCGACGTACCTCGATATATTTGCTGTGAGCATCAGACAAAACTACAGAGAAAACAAGCTAACAGAAAAGAAACAGTGCAGAGGTTCACGGAAGCGTAGACGTTTGAAGTGAACAGTGGCCGAACAGGGAACACGGAAGGAACACGTACAACGACACATCGTGGTAGGTTAGCTGAGCAACACGCTTAAATGAAAACGCCCCGATGTACCACATTGGCACCAAGGTGCGTCTGCTCAATGTAAATTGTTTCGCGTACACGGTACGGTTGTCTCCTTTACGAAATATAAAATTGCGTTGTGACTAGAAATGTATGTGACTGTCACGAATAACATTGCGGAGATGCTGCCGGCTTATTGATATTATCCGCGACGTCGGGAACTGGCAATGAAGGAGTGACTAAAGAAGAACAAGTAATTCGATGCTTGAAAAAAAAAAAATAACGCATGAGATATATTTGCTGCAGTATGACGCCCCGGACACAGCTGTAACTTTCTGTACGGGCACACTCGACATCTCCTGTACGCCAATGACGAACTAAGGGCCATTTTGCCATGCATGCGCATACGTCTTCATTATTATTTGCTTACGACTTTAGAGCTCAGTAGTGACACGTGACTGTTCATTCTCGGTTCCTTTTCTGCTGCCGTGTCCTCCTCGGTTATGGCTTGAGCGTCTTCCTTTGTCCGCTATAATAATTCATCTCTTCTGCCACCATTTCTTACCTTTGGGCCCTTCGCAAAAACCCCGCGTAAACTTATAGGAGAGAACGCGTTATTCTTAGTTGTGTGGATGACTGTACCCTCCACGATTGCATTGAGTAAGCGAGGAAACAAATAAAACGTTAACAGTTATTGCGTTGTGTGTTTGTTCCCCCATCGCTCTTCGACCAGTCCCGAATGCTTAAGCCAAATAAGTTTAAAGGACCTCTAAACTAGCTTTGAAAGTACAGAAAACGAGTACGCTTTCCCTCCTGGCGTTTTCCGCGTTTCGGGCACAATTCGTGACGCCAGCAGTTTGTCCGCGGGACGATCGTGAGGAAGTAAGCTCTCGATTGGTCCTTACACGGGGCGTACCAGTTTTGAATTGTGCCTTACCCTGCTTTCCCGTGCAGTCTTGCGACCGTTCCGCCTTGACTCTCGTGTCTGTCGCACTGACTCGACAGATTTCACCTCACTTTGTTCGTTTTCGACTACGCAAGCAGAGACACCAACGTGTAGAAGAAAAGTGCGAAATCCTGACAGGCTCGACGCTTAGCACTCACACGTCTATGTGATTTACGAATCAACAAGTGGCGAGGAAAGAGAGTGCCTGTAAGAAGAGTCAGCAAAGGCTGAAAAAAAAAAGAGCGTCTTTGAACGCCGAGTGGTTTGTAGGGGCGCTTCAACGTAAGGCTAACGTTCTACGGCCTGACGCTGGTAGGTGCGGGGTGTGGCGACGCGTCTTCCGGGTACGGCAGCCCCAAGGCGGACGACACGAGGCTTAGCAGGGGCAGGAAGAGCGAGACGAGGCCTTGCCAGAGGCGGCACGCAGACTTGGACTTGAGCATGATGAGCCGCCAGGCGAGGGCGATGAGCGCGGCGTACAGCAGCTGCTGGTAGATGTACAGCCTGCGCAAAAAAAAAAAAAGAAAAATGGAGAGACGCAACTGAAGGACTGTATAAACAAAGCAATAAGTCAGTTTTGACTTTTATGCTGGCACCGTGAACGTTGTGTTGCTTCAGTACGAATACGCAAAGATATATATATATATATATATATATATATATATATATATATATATATATATATATATATATATATATATATATATATATATATATATATATATATATATATATATATATATATATATATATATATATATATATATATATATATATATATATATATATAGATAGATATATATATATATATATATATATATATATATATATATATATATATATATATATATATAGATATATATATATATATATATATATATATATATATATATATACAGAGAGAGAGAGAGAGAGAGATGAAGACGAATGACAGACAAGCCACATCAAGCACAAACTTTCAACTAAATTTATTTTGCCCCTGAACATGTACAGGGGACAAAAATATTAGCAGTAACGTTTCAAAAAATGCCTTCGACAAGGAGATCAGCGCTTTGTCGGTGAGGACCCGTGAAGGTCCTCAGCGACAATTTAACTCATAACTGGTGTTTTGTCTATTCCAAGTACGCAATGCGCAGTCTATATTGTTTCAGTATATAAACAGGTTCCGTGGCGTGGCTGTGTCTTTTGTATTACCCATCTTTCTCTCCTCTCTATTTTTTTCTCTGTGCGTAGTCCTACTGAAACAGTGGAAGCACCGCTCTGCTCAAAACGTTGCTATCATTCATTCGTGTCGCATCGGCGGCAGAATATTCATGAACGAGATCAAAGCCACACTCGGATCCTTTAATTTGGCAGCAAAACCACGTTGCACAGGTGACGCCATTGGCGCTTCTCTGTATGTGCCCCCACACACTCCACGTTCCATTTTACTTTTGTGCAAGAAAACTTCACAGTATTCAACAAGCTGTTTCATTTTTTTTGAGCGGGGGGTATTTTTTACGCAAACAAATATAAGTATTCGTAACAAAATGGGCACAATGTTGGTGAACCCCATGCAATGTGCAGATAGCAGAAATCAAAACAGCAAAGCTTCTACGCGAACGATTATTTTGTCCTTGCGGACCTATCAGGCAATAACCGAATCAATTGCTCAATCAGTCCCAATTGCATAGTTCCAAATACAATTGTCAAGCTTAACTCACTATTTCTTTTTTGCATCTCTTCAGCTGCAAGCAGTCATCTGAAATAGTGTTCGCACGAGCGTTTTCAAAACTATAGGTCATGCACATTAGAAGCTTTGTGTAGTGTACAGTCAAAGTTATTGCTATCAATTGATTTAAGGAATTTACTACAATCACAGCAACTGGACTTGGTGTCAGTTTTGGGCAAAACGCCTATGATTTAACTTAACGGTGTGCGTCGGAAAAATGGAATTGAGAGTTTTAGTGTCCAGCCAGCTTCGTACACACTCTTTGCCCTTGCACTTGGATGCCCAGCCGCATCCAAGGACAATTCCGTTCGTAAGCCACTTTGGTGCCTCGCAACTAAAGCTCTCTAAAATAAAAAAGGAAGCCACGCGAAATTCGCTACTTGGCGCACATTTGTAACAAAATGTGTTTTAAATTAAGCCCCGCTGTCAAGCAAGTGAATACCTGCGCAGAGCGTTCCGTCCCTCTGGCACGGTGGAAGGGTCCTCCTTGAGCACGAACTTTCGGGTGCCCACCACGTAATCCTTAAAGTAGTTACCCCAATCCAGCAGTCGAAGGTCCGCGCAGAACGTCTGCAGCGGGGAAGCCCACATCGTGAGTGGGTTTCATTCAATACTAGCAGGCAGGCTTAGTTTCATAAAATAACGACAACATGCCCGAGATGCCTGCGTCACACCCGACACAAATGTTCTGCACGAGTGTTCTTAAAGCTGGCTTTGTTGCATAAGGGTTAGCATGCAGTGAAGCCCCACAAAGCGTTATGTTGTTAGGCTTCGCTGCATAGTAATACCTAATGCAACAAAGCCAGCTTTGCTATAAATAAGTGGATAAGGCAAGAGCGAGGGAGAGGGAGGGATATCGTGCGCTTTAAAGAAATACGTGCAATTTCAATTTTCGGCAAAAAGGTGCACCGAGCATGCACAACACATTCTAATCATCAACTGACATATACCCCCCCCCCCCGAAAAAAAAAGAGCCAACAAAGAAAAGTGTTCGTTTTCTTTGCTGTGAAACGATAATACAATATCTAAACGCTGCTCATCATCTTGCCATCGTTCAGCTATAATGACCCAACAATGCTCGACATGGTATTGCACGCGACAAAGTAACAAGCGCACAACACTATAATGAACAAAGAGAGCAGGTACGCACGTCATTATTCCACAACGAAGTGTAATAAAGGCGCCTAAAGGGAGCTACATATGTAACAGCGATATCGTCCAGAGCAATGGTTGGTTGTCAAGCGCACGCCTGCTCAGTGCGAAGCAAAAGCACGTGCACTAACTGAATGCCACGTTTTGGGGCCAGTACACGTACCTTTCGATCGGCGGGCGACACCTCCTGCAGTAGCGCCAGCAGGTTTCCGCAGTGGAATCGCCACTCGTGGGTGGTGAAGTACTCGAGGGAGACCATCACCTTGTACAGCTTGTTGAACAGACGGAGCATCCTGCGTCGGGAAGGTTTAAGAAAGTTTCGGCAGGACCTATCTCAAGACGGATGGCGACGCCACAGCACGATGAGCGTTGAAGAGTTGAGCGCCAACCCACCGCGCATATCCATGTCACCGGTACCTCTGTCTGCCTGGATGTTCGTAATTGTTTGGGGGTTCCTTCTTTCGTTCGCTTGTTTGGTTGTTCGTTTCTTTGACTGGTTGGTTGTTTGCTCATTTGGGGTGAGCGCCATGTGACTGGAACCCACTGTGTAAATTAGATATGTACTGCACCCTGGCTCCCCATCTTATTCATAATTTCCAAAGCTGGCGTCGTCTAGCGACATCTAACTAATAAACGCGCATCAAAAGAATACAAGCACCTCATACATTTACTTGCGTTCAGTTCGCGAAACCAAAGCAGCAGGCGAGTAGCAGTATAAGCCTGTCTGTTTGACGCGATCACATATCACTCCATTCTTCGTCTATCATATTGAAGCGTACACGTACACAAGCGCACTTGCATGCTCACCACACGTACTGCATACGTTGACAACGCAGCGCGTTCTTTCAGACTGAAAGTCCGTGCCAGTGAATCATTTTGTATCAAGTCCATAGTTTTTTATCTAAAAATGTGGGCACACTTATGAGCCATTTGAGCTTATGTGCTTATGAGCTTATATAAGCCACGGTCATTGTCAAAAGAACTACTTACACACAACTGAACAACAGAGTCGAGTGACACTCAGAAGAGTGGCGGATCGGGCTAGGCAGTAGGTGCCTACACGACATACTTTGCGAACATGCAAATGACGTCCGGAACAAGAGGGGCGGTCTTATGCCTCATCTCTGCAATCAGTGCAGTTGTCATCCGGTGTTTGATAACACGACTGTTTTGCATAAGGATCAACGCACCTGCCTCATTGCAGAAGTGGTTCAGATAAAGTGGTAGGAATGATTCCGCTCGAGCAAGCCGCGGGGCGGGTGCATACATGCGGGGACATCAGCAGGGTTATCTTGGTTTTTTCGGGGTTTTTCTTTTTTTCGATTTGTTTTTTTCTCTTGTCATGTTTGTATACATGCACTGTTCTTTCTGTTGACGCGTGATTGACACGTGTCTGCCTTTACTCGTTTTGTCAGTCACTATACAACCACAGCCTGCATATATATACGTCTCGTTTCACGATAAAGCTTCGTCGAAAGTAAGCACTTGTCTGCGTCCCTGCTTTTCTTGTCCCTTGCGTTTGCTTCCGTGCCATTACGTTCCCGATGAGCGACACTCACTTGGGCTTCCTTCCCGAGAGCCAGAGGTAGGCGTCGAAGATCACGGCCGGGCACCGGTGCTCGAAGAACATGGAGAGCACGTTCAGGAAGCGGCTCTTCTTGAAGCTGCCGCCAGGGTGCCGAACGGCGTGCGGCATCGGGTGCCACAGGAGAAGCGGGTACGCGATTGTCTCGATGTCACCCCACGTCAGCTTGCGCAGGGTGCCCGACGCCACGTGGTACACAGCAACCTTGTCCGGCCTGCAGCGGGGTATCGGGGTTTCGTGTTGAGCCGCAGAAGTAAGCGTGCGATTAGTTCCTTCTCGTTGGGCCCAAATTATTTAGGAAAAAAAAGATTTGCGAATATTTTTAGCGTTTTGGGCTGCTCAGTTGGTAGCAGAATAAGGGAGATGATAATACGAGCAGATGAAAAATACCGAATCCAGCTATCGTCCACTTGGCTGCGTATAACGCTGGTCTAGATTAAGGAAGACATCAGATGGTAAAAGAACGAATTCGGAGACATCCATAACCATCTGCGCACTTTTGGGAAGATGAAACGCAATTTATTATTATCGTCATCCCTTCATGTGCCTATGATGTGTACGAAATCTCTATGTAGTGCTTTAGAAACATATTACATCAATGAACTTACGTGCAAATGCAAATAGTTCCTGGTTAGTGTTATACTAAATTTTTTGCAATCCTTACGCTGAATCGACCTACCTACCTACCTACCTACCTACCTACCTACCTACCTACCTACCTACCTACCTACCTACCTACCTACCTACCTACCTACCTACCTACCTACCTACCTACCTACCTACCTACCTACCTACCTACCTACCTACCTACCTACCTACCTACCTACCTACCTACCTATCTATCTATCTATCTATCTACCTATCTATCTATCTATCTATCTATCTATCTATCTATCTATCTATCTATCTATCTATCTATCTATCTATCTATCTATCTATCTATCTATCTATCTATCTATCTATCTATCTATCTATCTATCTATCTATCTATCTATCTATCTATCTATCTATCTATCTATCTATCTATCTATCTATCTATCTATCTATCCACCTACGACTTATAGCTCACCTTGCCGTCTCAATAATGGTATTGATACCAAAAATAGTATGGAATAACGTGACTGTATCACGAGCATAAGTGACTGGTCATAACTTGAAAATCATCACATGTATGTCATGAGTGTCATGATTTACATTTCATGGTCTTTCTGCCCTTGCGGTGGTTTCGTTTACATGACGTTTTGCAAAACTGGTATGGTATGACATCACTGCATAGCGAACATAATTGACAGACCCTAACATGGAAATCATGACATGAATGTTATAATTTTCAAGTCATGACTAGTCATGAAGACATACCACGCTCATGATATGCTCGCGGTCATTTGGCTAGCTTCACATATACCAAATTTGGTATATCGGGACGTGCGTGGATGACAAAGATACATGTCTGGTTCAAACATGATAATCATGAGATGCGTGTCATGTAACAACATGACTACGAGCCGCGCTCATGATACACTCGTGCCCATTTCACGAGCTTCACTTACGCCAAATTTCGTGTTACACGTCAATGGATGACGAATGTATTTGACTGGTGCAAATATGATAATCATGAAATGAGTGTCATGTAAGAACATGACAACATACCACGTTCATGATGCGCTCGCGGTCCTTTCGCTTGCTTAGCATACACCAAATTTGTATCACGTGACGTGAATAGACGACAAAGGCAACTGACACGTCTGAAAATGATAATTTTGATATGTACGGGTCATGCTCACGGCCGTTTTGCTAGCTCCATATATACCAAATTTGGTATCGCATAACGTGAATAGACGACAAAGGTAAATGACACGTCCAAACATAATAATAATGACGGCGTCTTGTAAAGTATGACTACATGCTATATACGCTCATAGCGTGCTCGTGGCCGTTTCGCTAGCTCCACATAACGAAATTCGGTATTACGTGACGTGAACAGACGGCGAAGGTAAAGGAGACTTCCAAACATGATAATCATGGCACGGTAGTCATGTACGGCATAATTTACGTCCACCTCGTAACGTTGTGCTCATTTTAAAGTGACATATCAACCTTCCTCATTCGTGCTTAGCATATCATCGATTCCCACAGTACGTGAGGTCTGTTGAATTTTTCTATATAGACCTCTATATTATCTACAGTCTATATAGTCTAAGTCTATATAGACCTCTACATGTAGGCGCAAGTACATTGATTAGTGGTTGAAGGGTGAATATAATATTCGATGTTTCAGAGGCACGCATCACTGAGCAGTCTCGTGCGTGTGGCTCAAAAAGAGACGCAAAAAAAGTTGATCGATCGATCGATCGATTGATTGATGGGTAATTGATTGATTGATTTATATGAGGGATTTTTACATTCCAAAACCACCATATGATTATCAGAGACACCGGGGTAGAGGGCTCCGGAAATTTCGACCACCTGGTGTTCTTTAACATGCACACAAGAGAAGGCGACTTACCTGTGCATTGCAGTGTGCCAGGCAACGATGATCATAGTGTTGATGACCACGTCTACAGGCACGAAGTCGGCTGCCTTCTCTGTGTCTGCCACCATAGACCGGAGAAGACCTTTGCCGGACTTGTAAGAGAAAAAAGACAACTATAAACTACACACAGACTATTTATCAGCTTATCTCTCTTTTTTTTTTAAATACTTCTCTCACTTTATAAAATGTGCGCTGGTACAAAGACCACGGGTTGATGCCAGTCCGTGCGCTTATAGGAGTGTCTGTATTATGTCATGATGGCGTTGACCTTCATAATTTAGGCCGTGTAAGTAAGTCTGTTCCATCTAATTGGATTGGTCTTCGGTACTCCGCTTGCTCAGAAATACCAGTGTTGACGACACCGTATTTTCTGTTATACAGCAAACAACTATTGTTTATAGTTTATGCGAGTTCCATTGTCACGAAAGTTTCCTTACTTAAAGGACTCCTTATTGACCATTCGCAGATTCCTTTATCAACTGACTATATATAATCTGAATGACAACTGTTGCTTGAAGAACCGCTCGTAAATTTAGGAACAGAACGAAATAAAGCTTTCAGATTATAGGTGGCTGTGGCGCATTGGGTAGCGTACCCCGCCTCTGTTTTCGCAGACCCGTAATGTCGTTCGTTCGACTCATATTGCAAAACTTTTTTTTATTTATTTCTAATCGTGCGCATTTGTACGTCATTTTCGTGACAGAAATACGCCACTGGAGTCTTGGTAGACCCCGGCATGAAACACTTCGGTGGAGGAGGAGGAGGAAAGAACTTTATTAAGAGTCTGGTGAGTAGGTGGGGTGGGCGATTGGCCCCGCCTAGGTTACGGCCAGGAGTCCTTGAATCCTGGCGGCTTCCTCGGCCCGCTGGACGGCCCACATTTGGTCTTCGAGGGCGGAACTGAGCATTGCGGCTTCCCAGCGCGCGCGAAGGCTGTCCGCGGAGGCCGCATACTTGTTATGAGTACTAATCCCTCTACATTCCCATAACATATGCTCCAGAGTGGCTCTGGAGTCGCAACGCTTCCACCTGTCCGTTTTGTATATATCAGGATAGATATTGTGCGATAGCACAGGATTCGGATATGTCCTAGTTTGTAACTGCCGCCATTATTAGTGCCTTAACATTGACCCGAACATTCTTAAATGGATTGAATGCTTTCTGACTAATCGCACTCAGTTTGTAACAACTAATGGCTATAACTCACCTCTTTCTAAAGTAACATCCGGCGTACCCCAAGGTTTCGTATTAGGCCCTTTACTTTTCCTTATATATATTAATGATCTCCCAGACAGCATTAACTCCGCTATAAGGTTATTTGCAGATGATTGTGTAATTTACCGCGAAATAAACAATGAATATGATAACCAATTTCTACAGTCAGACCTTGACACTGTCTCAACCTAGTGCAATAAATGGCTTATGACTCTCAACTCTAACAAATCTAAATGCATGTCAATAACCCGGCGATCTATTTCTCCCCCCTGTACCTACAGAATTAACGCCGTTCCCCTCCAGCATGTCTCTTCATATAAGTACCTCGGCGTTTACATTACCAACAATCTATCTTGGCACACGCATGTTACCTACATCTGTAATAACGCTAACCGAACGCTAGGATACTTACGCCGCAACTTTTCTCGCGCTCCGCTGTCCCTCAAAATTCTATTATACCGATCACTAATTCGCCCAAAGCTTGAGTACGCGTCCGCTATATGGGATCCCGTGCAGCAAAATTTAATTAACGCGTTAGAATCTGTTCAGAACCGCTCAGTTCGGTTCATTTGTTCTAATTATTCCCGTACTGCTAGCATATCAGAAATGAAATCTAACCTTGACCTACCCAATTTAACTGTCCGGAGGAAACTGGCGCGACTGCATTTTTTTCATAAGATATTTTTTCACAATCCATCAATGAAGCGAGACCTCATTTCACAACCGTCATACCACTCATCGCGCATTGATCACCAGCATAAGGTTGCCATTCCGTTTTGCCGCACCAAATTCTTTTCAGCAGCCTTCTTACCGAAAACAGCCGCCGATTGGAACCACCTTCCCTCTTCCGTTGTAACAATAACAGACCCTTTGTTATTCAAGACTGCAATTTCTCAGCATGCAATGCTTGTAGCTATACGCAGTTTCCATTATCTATCTTTGTCTTGTATGTGCTTGAATTATCACTTATACATTTTTAGTTGACTTATGTTGCCTTCCTGATTTGCGCATCTGACACTTGTTTCTTTATTTTGTCTCTTTTTTCTTGTGTGTTATAAATGTTGTACCCACCCCCTCTGTAATGCCCTACGGGCCCTGAGGGTATTCTAATAAATAAATAAATAAATAAATAAATAAATAAATAAATAAATAAATAAATAAATAAATAAATAAATTCGACGGGCTGTCTTTTTGTTAATTTTGGGTGTGGGGGCGGGAATATGCCCCTGTGTAATTTATAATGTTTTGTAATTTCATTGTATCTGGTCATTCTGTCTTCCCACTCCCACTCGTCTGCCATGCCGTAATCACCGGAGGAGGCTGGCGCGGCACTTGAGAGGGCAGCTCGGTCGGTGAGCCCTCGAGCTGCGTCATGTACAGCCCCGTTGTTGCTGTCCCCCGCGATGGCATGAACAGGTGTCCATATAATATATGCATTTTGGGGGCTTGTTCGACACCCACCTTTGAGAATACGTAGTGCCTCCGGGGAGATGCGGCCGTTGGCAAAGTTTCTCACTGCCGTTTGAGAGTCTGTCACGATGAGTCACAAGTACTGGGGGATATATTGAACAACCGGGTAGCTAGCTCTAGGACGATGCGTCAGTCGTGGCTGGCTCTCGAGCCGAGAAGAGACACGCAAAATCTTCTTTCTTTCCTCCAGATGGTAGAGCCGCTTTTTCAGTCGACCCACTACGTGTGGGTGGCATTATCTCCCCTTTCGAAAAGAAAAAAAAAAGTCCCAAAAGGGGGAAAGAAAAGTACATAGCACCACCACGATGTTACGACATAGGCACGTGGAAAAAAAGAAATTGGAAATTCGGATAAAGTAAAAATAGAAATGAACGAGCGTGCCAATATAGGAAAAATCAGTGAACAAAGAAGCAAGTTCACAAAAATAAATAAATAACACAAAGAACACTGTACGGCAAGAAAAAAGTTATGAACAACGCGCAATAAATGGTTTCATGCGCAACACATGAACGACATCCGACCTCGGTCGTGTCCTACTCCGTGCCTGCGATGTTGAGTCCGGAACCACTTCGTAGTTCACGTCACTGACGCGACGTAACACTTTATAAGGGCCAAAGTACCGGCTCAGTAACTTTACACTAAGGCCACGGCGGCGGACGGGCGTCCACACCCAAACTTGGTCTCCGGGGTTGTAAAATACTTCACTGTGGCGGATGTTATAGCGCCGTGCGTCTGCCTGCTGTTGCTGGCCGATGTGTAGTCGCGCGAGCTGCCGGGCTTCCTCAGCACGCTCTGCGAATTCATCGGTGTCAGTTTCCAACTCGTCTTCGTCTTGACGCGGTAGCATAGACTCCAGAATGGTCTGCACTTCGCGGCCGTAGAGAAGCCGAAATGGCGTGAATCACGTGGTCTCTTGCACGGCGGTATTATACGCGAAGGTCACGTAAGGTAAGATCCGGTCCCATGTTTTGTGCTGTACGTCGATGTACATTGAGATCATGTCTGCGATGGTCTTATTCAGTCGCTCGGTAAGTCCGTTGGTTTGCGGGTGGTACGCAGTTGTCTTTCGGTGTCTGGTGTTGCTCAGTTTGAAAACCTCGTCCATAAGCTGCGCCGTGAATGCCGTCCCTCTGTCCGTTATTATACTGGAAGGAGCACCGTGTCGTAACACGATGTGGCGCATGAAAAATTGTGCTACCTCAGAAGCCGTGGCTCGTGGGGTCGCCTGCGTCTCAGCGTAGCGTGTCAGATAGTCGGTCGCGACGATCACCCATTTGTTGCTGTCCGCAGATAGGGGGAATGGCCCGAGAATCTCCATGCCGACTTGGTCGAACGGCGTGCAGGGTGCTTTAATGGGCTGAAGCAAACCAGCTGGCTTAACAGATGGTTGCTTTCGACGCTGACATTCCCGACAGCTCTTGACGTACTTCTTGACGCTTGCCGAAAGTCCTGGCCAATAGTACCTCTCGCTCACTCTGGCAAGTGTCCGTGAGTAGCCCAAATGACCGGATGTGGGTTCGTCATGGCAAGCGAAGAGGACGTCGTCTCGCATGTCTCGAGGAACCACCAGGAGGTAGGTACGGTTGTTCGAACGAGCGTTCTTCTTGTACAGCACACCCTCTCGAAGGCAGAACGACGGCAACGAGCGGGATAAATGACGTGGTATGATTGTGCCCTGGCCCTCTAAATGATCGATGATCGGACGAATCTCTGCGTCATCCCGCTGCAGTTTACTCAAGTCTGATGAGCTAATGGCGCCCAGGAAGCCTTCGTCTTCCTCTGCTTCCTGACTGACGACATGAAGGGGTGCGCGTGACAGTGTGTCAGCGTCTTCATGCTTACGGCCGGACTTATGGACGATGGTGACGTCAAATTCCTGCAGCCGCAAGCTCCACCGTGCTAGCCGTCCTGAAGGGTCGCGCAGGCTTGCCAACCAGCAGAGGGCATGGTGGTCCGTCACTACCTTGAAGGGACGACCATAAAGGTAGGGGCGAAACTTGGTGATTGCCCACACGACTGCGAGGCACTCTTTCTCCGTAGTGGAATAATTCGCCTCGGCACGGGATAGAGAGCGGCTGGCGTAGGCTATCACCCTTTCGATGTCGTCTTGACGCTGAACGAGCACTGCACCAAGCCCAACGTTACTAGCGTCAGTATGGACCTCCGTGTCAGCATCATCGTCGAAATGAGCGAGAACGGGTGCTGATAGCATGCGCTGTCGCAGTTCATCAAAAGCTGCTTGTTGCTCGTTTTCCCAGACAAACGGCGTGTCGTCCCTTGTGAGACGAGTCAGAGGTTCTGCTATCTATGAAAAGCCATGAATGAACCGGCGATAGTAGGCGCACAAACCAAGGAAGCGCTGGACGGCTTTCTTATCGACAGGAGCTGGTAATTCGGCAACAGCGGCAAGCTTGTCTGGATCGGGCCGGACTCCTTCAGCGCTAACTACATGTCCAAGAAATTTCAGTTCTTCATAGCCGAAGTGGCACTTCTGTGGGTTTAGAGTGAGGTCCGCCGATCGGATAGCCTCCAGCACGCTGCGCAGGCGCTGTAGGTGCTGCTCGAACGTGGCAGAGAAGACCACCACATCATCAAGGTAGACAAGACAAGTCTGCCACTTGAGCCCTGTGAGGACAGTGTCCATCATTCGCTGGAAAGTTGCCAGCGCTGAACACAAGCCGAAAGGGAGTACTCGAAATTGGTATAGGCCGTCTGGAGTCACGAAGGCTGTCTTTTCGCGGTCTCGCTGATCTACCTCGATTTGCCAGTACCCGCTTTTGAGATCGAGAGAAGTGAAATAATGGACACGACGAAGTCTATCCAGCGAATCGTCGATACGCGGTAGCGGGTACACATCCTTTTTGGTCACGTTGTTGAGCTTTCGGTAATCGACGCAGAAGCGTAGCGATCCGTACTTCTTTTTGACAAGCACGACTGGAGATGACCACGGGCTGTTGGATGGTTCGATAACGCCATCGTCAAGCATCTCGCGAACTTGCGTACGTATCGCTTCACGTTCTTTAGCCGACACGCGGTAGGGGTGCTGGTGTATTGGGCGTGCGTCCTCGTACGTGATGATCCTGTGCTGAGTGATGGACGTCTGGCGGATCTTTGAGCAACTTGCGAAGCAAGACCTGTACTCGAACAAGAGCGCTCGCAGCGCAGTCTGGTTATCAGTGGACAGATCAGGATTGATGTCAATGTTGCTCATTGATGTGTCTGCGTTATCCTCTATTTCTGACGTGGGACAGTTGGTTACGTTTGCTACTTCGTGGGCAAACGCTATAGAAGTGCCACGGAAAAGGTGTCGATGCTCGTTGCTAAAGGTGGTAACGAGCAATTCAGATCGGCCGTCGCGAACGTGTATTACACTTCTCGCTACACATATGCCTTGCTGCAGGAGGTGTTCTAAATTTGTCTCGGCCACCACATCGCCATCGCTCAAACCACAGCATGTTACGTCGACTAGAACACTGGCTCGGGGAGGAAGCGTCACGCTCTGTTCAGAAATACGGAGTACGTCGACACGCATTCCGTCGTTCTGCACGTTGATTGCTCGCTGGGCTGAGAACGTGACGCGGCGCTCTTGCAGATCAATGACCGCTCCATTTTTCTGTAGAAAATCAACTCCCAGAATGATGTCACGGGAGCATTCACGTAGAACAAGGCAGCTTGCTACGAATGTGTACCCTTGAATCTGTACTCTAGTTGTGCAGGCACCCAGTGGAGTTACGACATGGCCACCAGCTGTCCGAATCTGCGAGTTATGCCACGGCGTGATTACTTTCTTCAGCTGCGTTGTCAGTTTCCCACTCAGTATGGAATAGTCTGCGCCGGGGTCCACTAACGCAATAACTACACAACCATCAATTGTCACTGCAATGTCGAGTGAAAGCCGGCTATCCTTTGCAGCAGCAGGTGATGTCGGACCAGTTTCTGTACGGTTCTGCGTCAATAGGAGGTCTTCAGCGCTTCGACGTTCAGCGACCCCGCCCCCAGAGGTCGCTTCGGCTAGTTTTCCCGGCGGGGGCTGGGAGATCGTGCAGTAGAATACCGCTGGGGCATTGATGAAAATCGCCTCGGTGATGGCGAGCGCGATTGGCGCCCGGCAGACGGTGGTTGATGCTGCTGGGAGAGGTAGTTTTGGATGTCGCGTGGTCTCTGACCGTAACGGGGGGGCGGCGAGTACGCAGAGAAGCCGCGAAGCCCAAGACGGCGATAAGGACACTGGCGGTACAAGTGATCAGCTTCTCCGCAATGAAAGCATAGAGGCCGGTGATCGGGTGTGCGCCAGACATCAGACTTCCGAGGATACGAGTGCCGATCGTCGATGTACTGGACCGGTTGTACCGAACGATGGGCAACAGAAGCACCACGGCCAAAGGGCAGGGGCGGTGGCGTGTACGTGCCTTCGTAGTATGGTATGTGCTGCGCTGACTCGAGTGAAACTGCAGGGACAGGATGAACGAACAATGGCGGCGATGCAGCAGGGCGTTTCAAGGCTTCCGCGTAGGTTGTCTTACGGTGGTATTCAGCAGGAGCTGGCGCAGCTGTATCAGGAGGCAAGGTGTCCCGGAGGGCCTGGTGCAGCTCATCTTTGATGACAGTTGCAATAGAGCTAACCGTAGGATGAGGTGTTACAATAGCCTTTTGCAACTCTTCACGTACGATATTACGGATGAGTTTACGTAAGGAGTCATTGCTGGTCCCAGCGGCGGCGAAAATGTCAGCAGTGGACATGCCACTGACTTGCCTGTCGTATTGGTTTGATCGCTGCTGTAGCATTTTTTCCATTGTCACGGCTTCAGACAAGAATTCCGCGACCGTCTTCGGAGGGCTTCGCACGAGGCCGGCGAAAAGCTGGTCCTTGACACCACGCATCAAGTGACGCAACTTCTTGTCCTCCGTCATTCTTGAATCTGCCCATCGGAAGAGACGCGTCATGTCTTCGACGTACGCGGTCACAGTTTCGTTTGGCGACTGGACGCGGGCAAGAATAGCTCGTTCAGCTCTTTCTTGGTGGTCAGCGCTGGCATATGTCTGCAGAAGTCTACGAGAGAATTCTGGCCACGTCGTCAGCTGCTCCTCTCGATTTTGATACCACGTGCGAGCCCCGTCTTCGAGATAGAAGTAGACACGAACCAGTTTCGCCGCGTTGTCCCACTGATTCAAGTTGGCTACGCGCTCGAAGTCCGCCAACCAGTCCTGAACGTCTTCGCTCTCCGTACCATGGAACGTCGTCGGTGCCCGTGGGCTTTCCAACGTATATCGGTTCGACGACGTGCTTCCCGTGCCGGTTGGCAAGGTTTGTACCGAAGTGCTGGTCATGTTTGTTGACGTGGTGGTAGCAGTATCGTTGACTTCCGGAGGCAATCCCCTGATTCGGCGGCTCGTCCGATGCACGGGAGTATTGACTGGCACTGGACTCGTATTACGGCTTCCTGGGGGGGGGGGGGGGGGGGTCTGCAGCATCCGCGAGACTACCCAGCACCTTCCACCAGTTTGTCACGATGAGTCACAAGTACTGGGGGATATATTGAACAACCGGGTAGCTAGCTCTAGGACGATGCGTCAGTCGTGGCTGGCTCTCGAGCCGAGAAGAGACACGCAAAATCTTCTTTCTTTCCTCCAGATGGTAGAGCCGCTTTTTCAGTCGACCCACTACGTGTGGGTGGCAATATGCATTTTGGGGGCTTGTTCGACACCCACCTTTGAGAATACGTAGTGCCTCCGGGGAGATGCGGCCGTTGGCAAAGTTTCTCACTGCCGTTTGAGAGTCACTGACTATCACGGTTGCGTTTGTTTGAGCTACAGCGAGCGCTATGGCTACCTCTTCCGCTGTCTCGGTACTTGTGGTGCGTATCGTTGCGCATGTCGTACAGCGTTTGTTGCTATCGATTACGGCTGCGGTAAACCCCCGTTTACGCTTGTATCGAGCAGCGTCTACGAAAACTGCGTCCTTGTCATTACCGAACTTTTTTGTATTTGTTTTGCTCTTGTCTCTCGTCTGGCCTTATTGTGTTCGGGGTGCATGTTTTTTGGCAAGGGTGGTATCATCATTGTTTCCCTGGTCTCTTTCGGGATGTCCACCATAACTCCGTGTTGCGTGTGATACGTTATGCCTAGTCGCTCAAGAATATGTCTTCCTGCTCGTGTCTTAGAGAGACGTTCATATTGCGCCGTACGCTGCGCCTCCATAAGCTCATCTATTGTATTGTGCAGGCCTAGCTGTAACAGTTTGTCGGTGCTTGTGCTAATCGGTAGCCCTATAGCTAGTTTGAATATTTTTCGAATGAGGCAGTCTAGCTTGATCTTTTCCGCGACTTGCCATTTTAAGTATGGCGCTACGTATACTATTCTGCTTATCACGAATGCCCGTATCAACCTTATCGTGTTTTCCTCCCTCATGCCACTGTGCTTAGTTGCTATCCTTTTTATGAGTCTCATTATTTAGGCTACAGTTGCATCCAGTCGCCTGAGGATTTCTCCATTGTTGCCCTTGGCTTCGATGAGCAGACCCAGTACCCCGATCCTGTCGACTATGGGTATGGTTTTTCCATCGGCTGTTCTTAACTGTATTTCTTCTCTATGAGCGAGATCTTGCAGGCAGTTGCCTGGTTTGTGACCTCTACGAGTAGGTCTGTACAGCAACAGCTCCGATTTTTCCGCAGAGCAGGCTAGCCCAGTACCTTCCAGATACCGCTCGACCGTTTAGACTGCTGTTTGAAGCGTTTCCTCCATAACACTTCGGTGTTTAAAAAGAATTGTGGTGTTCATGCAGCGTGCGCTGTTGTTTCTCACAGCAAAACTTCTACTCTTTGCTGCTTTAGTCGCCACTGGTCCACTAACGCACCATCACTTTACAGATACGTTCCAACAAGTGGTGTTTCAAATGGATGAGGTAGAGATGAACGCTCGTGTTTATTGTTTTCGATAAAAAAAGAAAACTTCAGCGTCTTCGTTAATTTTGTCGGGGATCCTAAAACCGCTGATAAGCAAAACATAATGTTTTAGATAGTAACGACGAACTTTTAACTTATAATATGCATAGTGCGGACTGTTGGCGAGCCGTGGGATTGACCCATTTTTTATGGCGCACAGCAGTTAATGATGGACCGTAATCCTAAAGTACTTCACCCGTAGAAATGCACCGCAGCTATGTTGAAATGCGTAGTAAGTATACCAACACACTGTGAAAATACTTACTGCGACAAGAAGTCCCGTGGGTCCGTTGATATTGTCAATCCAGCCCTGCGAGTGATAAAAAAACTGCATTAAATTATCTTACGATGGGCTAGTCCTGTGCTCGTCGGTAGTAACTTAATTGTTATCTATTAAGTTGACGGCGGAAAGGCAAACAAACATATGAGCTTGCCGAACAAGTCTGCCATGCAATAGCGTGTTTCTTTAGGGTGTAAGTTAACAAGCCCCGAGTTATCGCTGCTCCTTAGCTTCTGATAGCTCAAAGGAAACGACACATCAGCAAGCGGCCTTGTGTACTCCATCGGTCTATCGCTTCCTTTTCGCAGAAGGTATTGGGATCAAATCCTGATCGCGGCAGCTGCATTTTCGATGGAAACAAAAATGTATGTGGCCAGCGTACATATTTAGGTGCACGTCAAAGAACCCCCGGTGGTCGAAATTTCCGTAGTCCTCCACCAAGGGCGTCTCTCGTAATCGTGGTATGGTTTCGGGACGTTAAAATCCAACAATTTTTACACTATTATCACATATTTCCGGTCAACGGGACGTCACATAACACAATGTCACATTATCACAAGACATCAACGCCTCAACCACCTTGGTCGAAGGTGCGCCGATCACGGAGGCAGTGCAAAAAAAATGCGAGGTGTACATAGAGCGTGTCACACCTCCCATCTTGGAGGCTATGCGAAATCAAGATAGTTGCAGCAAGGTTTCGGAGGAAGGGGATTATCAATGCATCGACTGAGAAGAAGCAGAAAAAAGTTGTCCGTCACCTGTGAGTCGTGCTAAATGAATTAATAAGGACACCTGTGGGTGTATTTTATTATTATATTGCGCTATCAGAAATTACGAATGATAACCAAGACTGCAAGCACCGACGCGTTCGCTGATAAGGAGGACACGTGGTCAGGCAGATACGTTCTGCAGTAAATGGTGGAGTAGCAACTATTCAATTCAGCCTAATACAATACTAATAAATTTTCTTATGGGTACACTGTCACGTATAAGTTATAACACTCCCTCACCGGTATGGGTTCCTGCCAGGCGGCCGTGACGATAGACGGTCTGACGATGGCCACCGGTAGGGATCCCCTCTCGTCGGCCACCAAGGTCTCGGCCAGGGCCTTGGTAAAGGTGTACATGTTAGGCCGACTGCCAAGCAACTTGGGCGTGATGGCCTCCACCAGAGGATCGTCCATCCAGCTGCGCAGGAACAGTGTACGTCACCATATGAAAGAATAACTAGCGAGACTCCATTACATAAGAATCACTCACGTGCGAGTTGGTTCACGGCACCTGAAAGGTTATTTAAGCGTGTATGAAGGAGACTAAAGGAAGTGGCAGAGCTGGCGGCATTAATGCAGAACTGTTTCCTTATCTGCTTACGTTTTCTACATAATGTTTTCTTTTTCTAGGCTTCTTACTTGCGCTGGTTCACCTTTGAATAGGCTTCATTTGTTTCTGCGAGGAACGAGTAGGGGGAGAGTCGAATAAAAACATTGTGCTCTGTGATTGATTCGACCACGGAAGCAGCTACCGTGCACAGCACACAATTGTCATATACAGACAAAAATATCTTCACATGTGCGCGAAAGGTGTGTCTAGATGCCACTTTTTTCGTCATGAGGATTTTCACCTTGACAGTATTACAGGCTGGCCTCTCGGCATGGTCTGAGCCGGGGATGGTATGAGAACTGAAATATTGTTGACAATCACTTTCTTTTTATGGTCACCTCGAGCTCTAAAACTGCACTTTTATGGCATTGTGCGAGGAATTTGCCTTGTTTAGTAAAAGATATTATTTTAATTCGTTCATTCAAAGAACATCATTCGCCAGCGGAGTTTGCTAGTGATTACGATTGTCTGCCTTTACAAAGTGCCATTACTTAAGAAATAATTTACGAGTACCGGCTCAGGCGTTGGACACTTGTACTACACTGTGTAAATGGCAGGTACTCCTGCAAATGCTAATGTAATAAACGATTGAGTCACAGGCGCAGCACCGCAAAATTGCGAACTTCACTTCTCGAGAAAGGGAAATTCTGTAAATCTGATGCCGTCTTGCATTCCACCTGATAACTGCTACATCAAAATACTCTACTCAAAGAGCTAGGCAAAAGTATTGTGAGACATCACGATGCACATGACCAACAATTACAAGTAGCGCCCAATCGATTCGCATATAGTCGTGGTACTTGATCTATCAGAGCCTAAGTCATCACTTCACATTTTCAGCGCAGTTGCATGAAATTTACGTACATTTATAGCTCCTTTCATTACGACACCAATAATATGGACACCAAGGCGCATTTTTGCTATCGCAATCATCTTCCGTATCAAGTTCAAATGAATTACATCACCTCACGCATCGTGTGTTCTATATGTGCGAGTGAAAGCTTTGTGAAGGCTGCATACGGGCGCTGCTCAAGCATAGATGAAAAGCGTCGGCCAGCCTCGTAGGGCTAAGGAGCATGAAGGAGGTAGAGTGGGGGTGCGGATCTGCGTCGCTCAAACAGCAGCTACGAAGGTGTGTGCTTTCACCACTCGCTCCACTTCAAAGCCACAGACAGCACCAAAACTGCTTCATTATAGCTGCAGAGGCTGTATTTCCTTGCGCCAAAGTTTTGCAGTTGCACCAGATCGAATCTTGAAAGAGTTTGCTCGCCTTACTTCTTCTAACATTCCAATTTGTTACTATCGCATTCACTGCTTTGCCCTTGCAGCGAAGGCTGTATTTTCTTGCGCCAAAGTTTTGCAGTTGCACCAGATCGAATCTTGAAAGAGTTTGCTCGCCTTACTTCTTCTAACATTCCAATTTGTTACTATCGCATTCACTGCTTTGCCCTTGCAGCGAAGGCTGTATTTTCTTGCGCCAAAGTTTTGCAGTTGCACCAGATCGAATCTAGAAAGAGTTTGCTCGCCTTACTTCTTCTAACATTCCAATTTGTTACTATCGCATTCATTGATTTGCCCTTGAAGTGAAGGTTGTATTTTCTTGCGCCAAAGTTTTGCAGTTGAACCAGATCGAATCTTGAAAGAGTTTGCTCGCCTTACTCCTTCTAACATTCCAATTTGTTACTATCGCATTCATTGCTTCACCCTTGCAGCGAAGCTGTAGCATCTTTAATTGTGGGGCTAATCCTCACAAAGGCGGTTACCACAGCGATCCTTAAATGCCAAGCGAAAATAAGAGCTAACGTGGTTGCTTGGGCGAGTTGGTACGACATGATTCACATAAAAAACAGCGCCAAAAACGAGAGACAAGAAAAAGAAGGAGACAGACAGCGGCACTGAACTTACAACAAGATTTATTTGCCAGAACCGCACAATATATACTTGGGCAGCTTCTAACAAAAAAAGAAAATACAAAACAAACAATACAGAATCCACCTAACAACCACATAGTCATCTTCACAACGCACCATGAGCAGCACGTGTGCTAACGTGCCGAAGGAAATCTATTTCTTTTAATGATAGCGCAATCGAAGGCCTGCTGACACATGCACTGCCCAGCCTTTCTATTTCTGAAGCCTCATAAATTTCACGTATCAACTGGTCCCGATGCCGCCTGATGACGGTACAAAGCTGAAAATCAGGGACACAGCCGCAGTCTCGGCAATGAATGCCGAGATGGCCCGAAACTGTAGAGGAGACGTTGTGAGCGTGCTCATTCAGCCGCTCATTTAAACACCTGCCTGTTTGGCCGATGTACCACTTGCCGCAAGACAGAGGTAGTGAGTACACCACTCCTTCAATGCATGGAACGTACTTCTTTCGATGCTTGACTTTGCAGCCTCGCTCGCCCCTCGAACCAGGATTCACGACTCTGCACAACCTAGCCAGTTTTTCTGGGGCAGAAAAAACCAGGTCTACGTCGCACCTGCTGGCTACTTTTTTGAGATTGTGGGTGACGCCGTGGATATAGGGAATAACGACGAAGTTTCGTTTCCCACGTCCCTTATCCTTTGTACGGTTCTGAGCATTATTTTCTGGGCTCGTTCTGATTTCTCTGAGTAGACACTCAGCAACGGCGGTCAAAACGTACATCGGGAAACCAGCTTCTGTAAGGCGTTTAGTTTGCTTATTAAAGCTGGACAGTTTCCTAGCAAAAAGTTCCGATGATGTGATTTCCGTGCTGAAAGATAACAAATTTTATGGCTACCAGGCATGCTCAATAGATATTAAAGATCTGTACTACTCATTGCCACACAGTGAGCTTCTAGCTTGCATTCGCGGGTGCATTGACAGTTTTGGCGTTGTGAATTACCAGAATGCAGTAGGCATATCTGTTGAAGGTTTTATGGAACTGCTACAGTATTACCTGACGTCGACTTTTGCAGAATGGGACGGTCATATTTACTTGCAACGTCAAGGGGTGTGCATAGGATCATGCCTTGCGCCCATTTTGAGTGATTTATTTTTAGCCAGCCGTGATCGTGCCATTCAGAATTGCTTGGGATCCACATCTGTTAAGAGAGTATTCCGCTATGTTGACGATTTCCTTGTGTTGTTTCAAGCTGGAACCTCCTCGGATGGTCCGCCTTTGACTAGTATTTTAGAAATTTTCAGTAAGTGTCTTTCTCCGCTTGTTATAACACATGAAGTTCCGGACAGAGGAGCCATCAGGTTCTTAGATTTAATGTTAACGTTGAGTCCTTCCCACGTGTGTTGGGCCTATGAGCCACGCGCCAACAAGCCAATCCTCCCTTTTGGTTCAGCACATTCGAAAGTGGTGAAGCGCGCTATTGCTAAGACTTGCTACACAAACGCTTTGCGAAAGTCCTGCTATCACACAATTCTGTCCAGCTTTAATAAGCAAACTAAACGCCTTACAGAAGCTGGTTTCCCGATGTACGTTTTGACCGCCGTTGCTGAGTGTCTACTCAGAGAAATCAGAACGAGCCCAGAAAATAATGCTCAGAACCGTACAAAGGATAAGGGACGTGGGAAACGAAACTTCGTCGTTATTCCCTATATCCACGGCGTCACCCACAATCTCAAAAAAGTAGCCAGCAGGTGCGACGTAGACCTGGTTTTTTCTGCCCCAGAAAAACTGGCTAGGTTGTGCAGAGTCGTGAATCCTGATTCGAGGGGCGAGCGAGGCTGCAAAGTCAAGCATCGAAAGAAGTACGTTCCATGCATTGAAGGAGTGGTGTACTCACTACCTCTGTCTTGCGGCAAGTGGTACATCGGCCAAACAGGCAGGTGTTTAAATGAGCGGCTGAAAGAGCACGCTCACAACGTCTCCTCTACAGTTTCGGGCCATCTCGGCATTCATTGCCGAGACTGCGGCTGTGTCCCTGATTTTCAGCTTTGTACCGTCATCAGGCGGCATCGGGACCAGTTGATACGTGAAATTTATGAGGCTTCAGAAATAGAAAGGCTGGGCAGTGCATGTGTCAGCAGGCCTTCGATTGCGCTATCATTAAAAAAAATAGATTTCCTTCGGCACGTTAGCACACGTGCTGCTCATGGTGCGTTGTGAAGATGACTATGTGGTTGTTAGGTGGATTCTGTATTGTTTGTTTTGTATTTTCTTTTTTTTTTTGTTAGAAGCTGCCCAAGTATATATTGTGCGGTTCTGGCAAATAAATCTTGTTGTAAGTTCAGTGCCGCTGTCTGTCTCCTTCTTTTTCTTGTCTCTCGTTTTTGGCGCTGTTTTTTATGCGAAAATAAGAAAAATTTTGTACCTGACCGCGTCTATGACGTTCTGCGGGTCGAAAGGTGGCGGGTAGATGACCTCCGCCACCTCCTCCTTGTCGCAGTTGCAGTACGCTGTCGACACGTGCACCAGGGCCTGCGCGCGAAATGAAATTCACGATAAGTTTGGGCACTTGTATTATCATACTCACATGGCATATGCGCTGTTACCGTAAATTACTGATCACTACAGACAGTCAAAGCAAAGACGGCACAAGCCCCGGACGGCTGAGGTTGTCAGCAGGCAATACAGTGAGATACAGCAGCTTTTTGGGCGAGAAATAATCCTAGAAATAGGCGCAAAAAAACACGGATACAGTGAAGTATTCTGCCTTTTGCCCGTGTGGTATTTTCATTATCTACGTTTTTTGCACTGATTTTTTTTACGACGGCGGTGAGCAGCAAATACATCTCAGTTGAGTAGTCGGGGAACATAACGTGTCGAGAAGACTCAGCGTAAACGGGGTATGTCGCACTGCGACTTCCGACTTCTTCGCGGAAAACACAAAGCCTGTAATAAGGCTGAAAATGCGCGTGACGTCGAGCATTAAGCTTCTACGCAAAACGTGCGCTCTTTGAATGCTTTCAGAACGGCTACGCGACAATGAACGGCGAAAAAATATCGCAGCGCTTTGCAGTCGTAACGGAGATGTGACCTGCACCAGCCAGAGTTACGTTCAGCAATGACGATAGATTGCAAAAAACAAAACAAACATAACCGCAACATAGGCTCATTGCTGCAACAATTTACACGGGTGTCTTGAACGCTCCATTGACTTTGAAGGAAGCATACGTATATTGTGGCTGTTTCATTTGTAATTACTCGTCATATGTTAAATCACCTGTGACGATCGCGTCGTGCCCCAACAAAACTTCGCTTTACTTACGTATATGCATCGTCTAGCTGAGTTTTCCTTTGATGGCGTAATCGGGAATAGCGAACTATGGACACAATCGCGCGAAAGTGAGGAATGCGTGACGATTCGCAAGAAAGCTATGAGAGACTATACATATTTCACAGCGTGACTCGCTTTAGCTATATGCACATTCTGAATCGCAGCTTATCTTTTCACAAATCTGGGAATCTCAAGAGAAAAAATTACGCTCCCGTATTTGTTGAACATGAAAAAAGAAACCATGCTGAAAACTCACGTAGTATAGTGTTAGAAGTATTTATCGGAGAAACTGCAGGAAAATGTTCGACGCGACACAGAGTGGAAGAACATTCTAAGCGGCTATTATGTGTAAGGTATTTTATTCAGGTTAACTAATTAGATAGCTCTTCAGCAATATTCTCAAGTGAAAGAAATGTGAGAAACGTGTTTCCCCACTCGAAGAGCGAGAACCATGCAAGATGACGATATCGCCAATTACCTTTAGCTTGCTCATACCCTGACAGAGTTGCAGCAGTCTCCTTGTGCCTAGAACGTTCATGTCAATGGAACTCCTAGAAAACAGGCACAAAAAAGCACATGAACATTACAATCCTAAACAATGTGGTCAAGAGAGCTCGGAAGTTCAGGCGGGATCGTGATGGTCAGCTGTGAATACAGGGAGACATTTCTTCGGTTAATGTAGCCAAACAGTGTCATAAAAAAACGCATTGACGACTCCCGTTCCAGTATGATCATTCTCATTCTATTAGCGCAATGTAAAAATGATTTCCAGAAAGTACTCTAGTCAGTTTATATGGTCTAACTATGCGAGCAGAGTAACCGATGGCAGTCGGTGCGTGTCTATATGTCAGTGTTGCTTTAGAACCCCCTGTGAACATAAAGTTGCCCGATGATCGCAATGTCACACAAAGGCTGACATTCTTCGTTCATGCCTGCGCCGCAAATACGTAGATACTTCTCGCGTGCAGGACCTTCGCCTTAGGGTTGTGGCCTTTGACCTGAACCAGTATTGACGGCCGCTCCAGATGATGTGACCTCCGACACATGATGCACGGGCATAGCGGGTTTGTGGGTAGAGTTAGCCCAACCGTGGGGATGGTTCGGTATATCATGAGTTCGGTGACGACTTATCTCAATAAAAGGCCATATGTTATCGCCATAAGAGGCAAGCGTTTTTTTGAAGCAAGGCGACCGTAAAGCAATACGGACAAGAATGAGTGTTTTGAGAGTGGCAACAGCAGATCATCTGGCATCACATCTCGCTTAAAGTTTCTATAGGTGAGCACTCACTTGAGCGGTTCGTCGAACTTGACAATAGCGGCCGAATGGAAGACGACGTCGACGTTGTCAAGCAACGCCTTGCGGTGTTCGGGGCTGAGGCCCAGCTCCGGAAGGGTCAAGTCCCCTTCCACGGCGATCACCTTGCTCCACGCGAAGTGCGAATCGGAACAGCGCAGAGCGTGGAAGATCTGCGCCCAAGGGTGGTCACTACACGTCATTCTCGGAAACCGACACATGGGCGCATGGAAATAAGGCAAGGAAGAGGCTAGAATAAAGGTGACTTCATGTTATCCCAAAACAATAAAATAAGCCCCCTCCGCAATGACCACAGGCATTGTATGGGTTGTTTTTTTTCCTGGCGTAACCAGTTGTACACTTGGCCTGGAAGAACATGTCAGAAGTGACCTGCGCTCCTAGAGAGGAACACAAGTGCTCGCAGCTCAGAGCTCGGCAGGAATGACAGCTCAGAAGTTCAACATAAATTATACTTTAACGCCCGCAGAAACTCGTTAATATGCTTAGGAGCATGGCATCTCGTACAGGCGCACAACGCACATGTATGTAGAGTAATGCAGAACATTGCTCCCCATATACCGAGGCGATTGACAGTAGCGTTGATGGCGCGTCCACCTGCGTTCGTCATCTTTGCAGCCAGACACACTTCCCGTGTTCAAACAGCATTTAATGCACCATCCTCAGGCGGTGCATGCGCGGAAGAGTGAGTCAACATTACATTTGTGGTGGCACAGACGGAATGAAAGTCCCCGATCGAGTGTATTGTAATCGCTCTCAGTTTCAGTTTATTTTCAACATCAAGATACAGCGTGCACTGATGTTGTGGGCAGTAGACAAAAAAAGCCTCTAAAATAGGCTTTAGAGCGTTCACTGATCCAATTGACAGGCAGCGGTACAATAAATGCTGACAATTCACAAGTAACATGATGCAGTAAGTAACACTGATCCCCCAACAAAACGATCTTTCGAGCCGCTTTGCCGAGTACGTAAAAGACAATGCATTCAAGCATTCTTTTCACTTCCAAAACTTGTCTCCCTCAACGTTGCCCGTCAGCCTTTATGTTGCTCCGATCATGCTGTATCTGTCTCTTCGATTGTGCGGTAACGTTACTCTCAAATGAAACGCCACCGCCCCACTCAAGGTGCTTTAAAGTAGGCTTCGCTGCATTTAATTTTTGCTTACACAAAAAGACAGCTTTACAAACATCATAAGCCGCTAGTAGTGATTTTCCAGGAATAATTAGCCAATGCGTCATTCATAGATTACCACGGCGTTTCACTATGTAGCTGAAGTTCCCCATAAGAGTGTCCGGCAGATTTGTCGACCGACTTATGCATTTTGTATCTGCAATAACGGAGGGCTTGTCGTTTTACATATGACATCACGCATTAAGAAAGCCGGGGTGAGCATTCAGACTCACACGTCGTTTCACAAACACAAAATAAATAAATAAATAAATAAAGACGAAAACACGCGTCATTGCACCCTATAGTTATACCAAGTACTTATAGATATTGGAAGCCTACATCATCGCAGAAATTTTGAGCAATGTCATGGGCCTTAAAACAAAGAAAGTATACCTTGCGCTATGAGTTTTAAAGTGGTTGTACTTATACTCGCACATGAATTAAGGAAGGAAGGAAGGAAGGAAGGAAGGAAGGAAGGAAGGAAAGGCAGGGATGTTAACCAGCCTAGAATAAGGAAGGAACGAAAAAAGAAAGGAAGGAAGGAAGGAAGGAAGGAAGGAAGGAAGGAAGAAAAGAACGAAGGAAAGAAGGAAGGAAGGAAGGAAGGAAGGAAGGAAGGAAGGAAGGAAGGAAGGAAGGAAGGAAGGAAGGAAGGAAGGAAGGAAGGAAGGAAGGAAGGAAGGAAGGAAGGAAGGGCAGGGATGTTAACCAGCCTAGAATAAGGAAGGAACGAAAAAAGGAAGGAAGGAAGGAAGGAAGAAAAGAACGAAGGAAAGAAGGAAGGAAGGAAGAAAGGAAGGAAGGAAGGAAGGAAGGAAGGAAGGAAGGAAGGAAGGAAGGAAGGAACGAACGAAGGAAGGAAGGAAGGAAGGAAGGAAGGAAGGAAGGAAGGAAGGAAGGAAGGAAGGAAGGAAGGAAGAGCCTAGAGTGGCCGAGATGCTACCCTTCACTGCGGACAGGGATGGGGGAGATTAAAAGATGGACAGAGAGAGAGAGAGAGAGAGAGAGAGAGAAAGAGAGAGAGCACGTACACATAAGCTGCACTTCACAATCATCTTAACACATTAGGTCTATATTTGGTGGTACAAGTCTGTTGCCTTGAAGATGTTGAGAACCGCCTTCGTCGGTAAGCGTAGCATTGTCGATGTCATGAATAGTGAACATCGAAGAACGTTAATGGTGGTGAAAAGATGAAAGGAAAGTGGAGACAGAGCATATTACGCAGCTCTTTCAACGTAATTAAGAGGAGAAAAAATAAGAAAACTTGAGGTGAGGGGAGATCGCATACAGACTGCCTTCCGTAACATTCGCAATTCAGTTGTTTGTGTCATGGTTCAGAACGTAACAGAAAAAAAAGTAAGCACGGCCATCATAAATAGTGTTATTGTTTTCCATATCTGCAGAAAGGAAACAAACACTCACCTCTGAATCTAGTAATTCATCTAGGCGTGCTTGGGGCGACGCTCCTCCCTTGGCACGCATCAGGACAAATATCCGGCGCAGACCACCGCATGATCGTAGTAGCTTCTCCAACAGCACCTGCATTGGGTGTTACTTGAGGTATTGTGCACTAAGCATGTACCTATATGGAAAATTCTTGTTTAACGAATGATTTGGTGCTTTTTCCTTAAACACCTCGATACGATTATAACGCACTTTAAGAGGGCCCTTTGCATTGATTCTGGCTATCTAGGGTTTAACTTGTAGCTATGTGTATAATTTTTGTTTGCAGTTTCTCATATTCTGTGTGGGCAAGACATGGACGCATAAATTTCAAGCCTGTGCCAATATTACATTCACTCATTCAATGTACCACTTGTATTCTGGAAACTTAACGAAAACGATTAGCATGTGAGACTCTGGCTTTCCATAGTGCATCGTGTTGCACATTTGATAAACCTTACAACAGGCTTATGAAAAAATTCTCGCTTTTAAACGACAATTTTCAACGCTCACGCGTTGTTTCCCATAGCCGTGCACTAAAAGTAACCTTTTCTGCGCATAAGCAAGCTCTTCCGCAGTAACACTGTATTAGTAACAAAGCTAGCTTTACAGGCATAATTTATGAGTCGCGCATTATATCATTACTCAATGAAATCTGCGCAAAACATTTCTGATTGGTTGCAATATACTACTTAGAACATTCCCAGTTCTACTTACTGAATTTCGTGAATCTTTTTTGTAGGTACATAATCTATAAATACAACTTTTTCGTCTGCATATGCTGGGAAAGCACCCGCCGTTACGCTACGTTATTTCACTATGCATTTTTTATCTGCTCGAATGTATATGGTGTAGCCTGTACATTCGATAACACTAAATATTGGAATATTATATTTATTGATAACGCGGCTAGATTATCAAAATACAAAAAAACTCGCGTTTTGTTGCCCTCTTTTTTTTTTAAACAGCACGAAGAAGTTTTGCAGCAGAGCCAACCTACATTTGTCATTTATGTCTTGAACTATGCTCAGATCGTTATATTCACTCAAATCCTCCACTTTGTAGTGCCTGAGGTGTTTTGACACCAAATAGTTAATCGTACGCAGACGCGTTAACGTATAATGTACACTGCCGTTTTCTAAATGAATATTAGTGAGCCACCTGTCAAGCAGCGAGCAAACGCTTAGTCTGCTTGCAAATACAAAACTTTAACAGGCTTCTTCTAGCAATGGAGGAGCCGTCGGCTTCAGTTTCGTTTGTGATTCAGAACGCGGATACATCTAAGTGTCTCAGGAGGAGAACCGATAGTGGCCCTTCGATCGCAGATAGGATGGATGTACGGGATGTAAACACCTACCTTTCCCATAAACCCGGTTGCTCCAGTGATAAAAATGTCCTTATCCTTGTAGAAGTCGGATATAAAAGGTTTATCCATTGATGCCATCCTGAGCTCCATCCGTATGTTTGCTATGCGCTGCTTTCAAGTTGACCAGGTTACATCGAGATGGCGCCGCTGTGGTGATAGATTTGTCTTTGTCGGTTTCCTTCTGATACTAGCACTACGTGAGGCATTCATGTGTTGTTATATGTGCAATGTAGCTATAAGCACTCAGTTCTCCTGCGCCACTCTGAAAGAACGCAATGATCATGCACCCAAAAGTGCGCGCAGAAAGCACATCGCAGTATTGTGATGCCCTCACGCGGAGACAAGAGAAAACTACATGACTTCTTCGTGGCTTATATATATGTAGTAGAGCATGTGTATGCAAACCACGTCGTTATAAACCAACTATTCATGCCGTAAATGTTCAACGAGTACAGAGTAAGTGGTTGGAAAGTTGAAGGTTTGCATTAGAGTGAGAGAACTTGTGGGCATAATGAAACGTTGAGGACCGCTAACAACAAATAATAAACAAACGCCGGGTGGTCGTGTGCGATACAACTAGGACCACTAACAGTTTTGTTGGCTACCAGCCGGTGAGAAAGCAGGCATTGTGGGATACGCCTAGTTGTCCTCCGCTTTTTGCCATGTAGGCTGTGGGCACGGACTGGGCGAGTGAGTTGCGCCGATGATAAAAAAAGTGAAGTAAAAGAAATCGAACAGCGCAATGTCAAAATGAAACGATCAGCACCACAGAACGAGCGCAGCGAGCAGGCCTACGGCGAAGGCGGTGCGGACGGCTCCCGGGGCAGCCGTAGCAAGCACGGGCTCCCAAGATGGTTGCACCGGGCCCCGTAACGACGCCCATCCGTCGCTTCGTGCGGACCTCAACCCGGCGACGGTCTAAAGCCGCGTCCGATGTAGCCCATCATTCAAACAGGCCAGTGTCCGATTAGGCTTAGCACCTTGCGGCGGCTTGGCACACGGAGCGTTCGTCCGTACGCGCGGTGAAGTTGCCTCTGGGTCCCGCTGGAGAAGCTGCCACGAGCGACGATCTAAAGCTTGCATAGAAGGGGCCGCGGCGTTGCGTCGGCCCAACGAAGCGGCGCCAAGATGTGGAACATGATGTGCGACGTGATGCCGACCATTTCGGAGGACAGCATCGCCCAGCGGAGCGGCCAGTTCTCCGGCGATGAAGCAAACTTCGAGCAGCTTATGGTCAACATGCTCGACGAACGGGATAAGCTTATGGAGACGCTCCGAGAGACGCAGGAGACTCTCACAAACACGCAGCAAAAGCTTTCGGAGGTTGAGAAGGAGCGCGATTCGCTGCAGAGGCAATTGCAGGCCAACTTGCCACAGGTAGGCCGCCGTGCATTGTTTTCTGTGTGCCGTTGATTCTCCCCTGTGTTGTGTGGCCCCCCATGTTTCCGGCAAATGCTTGAAATTGTTCAAGTGCGCGAGTTTGTCGGGGACGCGCCCTGTGGATCTCTACAGTGCAGCTCGTGTGTTTCGTAACGCGAGAAGTTTGGCCGTGATAACACGCCCACGGGTGTGTGCGTTGGCTGTGTGGAATTCGGATTTGAAGCGACTGCGACTACTCGACGGGCGTGCGACCATCTGTGAATGTGGAATGTAGTGTGGGTGAATTTGTGCTCTGCCTTGCCCGTTTTCTTGTTGGTGTTCTTGCGGTCGCCTCCTACGTCTTTCACTGTCGTTTTGTTTTCAGTTCTGATCACGTTCGTCAACACGAAATGCACCATTTAAACTTGGCGATAAGACCTTGAAGAACGCCCGCATAGACGTAAAATATTAAATTTCTGGTGTGGAGATGCTTCTCATTTTGGTGTCAGTGGCTCACAGGAAACACGGTCTAAATGTTTGCTCTGAAACTTCCAGGAATTTGCAACACTCACCAAAGAGCTTAATCATGCAAGAGAGCAGCTTTTGGAGAAGGATGAGGAGATACAGGAGTTAAAAGCAGAACGGAACAACACAAGGGTAAGAGCTTTCTTTGCACATAATAAGATAAATGTTTGTCTCGTCAATGTGTATAAAATGCAAAAAAGCAGTATCCGGCTGCTTCTATGTACCATGATTAGCTATATTATCAAACCTACCTGATTCTAGCATTACTCTCGGTTTAGAATTCAGCCCTAACATGTCTTAGCTTTGCTGTGGGCCAACACAAATGCCTTGATCTCAGGTAATAAAGTTGTAGCTGTAGCCTGGTGCTATGATCACAAGCCCTTGGATGGCAATGCTTTATTTAAAACATCACTTTGTTGCGTTCTCCGTCATCAAAATTTCTTTAAACAACTCTGGTCAACACATTTAAAATTGTGGAGTGCACTGTTAATTTAGATTCCCAGATGACATATCTCAGCTGTAGGATACATTCAGTAGCATGTCGTCACCAAACATCCTGTTTGGATGCATTGTAACAGCTGTGTTCCTGTGTTCACCGAAGCTTTTGCTGGGACAAAGCAGGCCCTCTGCTATGGGTGTGAAGGCATTTTAGTTGTTTTTTTCTTGATGCTTGGTTCACAAGGAAGTAAAATATTCTGGTAGGCCGAAGAAAATATTTGTGATAAAGGCTCAAACAATCTGCTGTCAGATAAGAACCTTACATATTCCATCAGCGGCTATCTTGTGTGCCACTAAACTACATCCTCTTGGGTCTTTATGGCTGTTTTGACTTTCGTTTGTTGTTTTCTTAAGGATGAAAGTGCATTCTTTTCAGCTGACCGGCACTGTATGTTTCATATTTGCACTTGATAACAGCTGGAAACTGATAAACACTTGTTTATCACTACTTCATGTCAATGTTGGCATTGTCCGATCTTTGTGTTGGTCCTTTACTTTGCTGTCAGTTACCATGGTTGAAAGAAACTCCTGATAGTTTGATTTCAGCTTAAAATCTTTCTCAATGTTTCAAGAAACAGTAATTCCTTTTTTTGTTTTGTTTTTTTTGCATAAGTATTGTATGTATGTAAACATTACGGACTAGGGGAAAAACAAGTACTATATACTCTAGAGGGCTCTCAGCTCGCATCTGTCAGCTTTCGCTAGCCGTTCCAAAGCAGAAAAAAACTGCTATTCATGATACCATTAAGTTCACATCTTGGTGAAATCGCGGTTTTGACATTATTCCTAATTTGAAAATTGGTGATCGCCCTTAGCAGTTGAATGTATGAGCACCGAGGGCACATAACTCAAGCTTAGCTGTGTTTGGCCATCTCTAAAGAAAGTTGTCTCTGCAGTATTTATTAGAGCACAACATTAAGAATTAAATGAAAGAGAAAAAAAGTACAAACTACACAGTCGTTACGGTGAAGCTGGGATAGTCCTATTTGCCGAGTTTATTGCATTTTATTTTGTGTGCCTCATGGTAAAGCAAATATTCTTCAGATTAACAGGAATACTTATGTGCTTCCCTAAAAGAGGTGCCAGGCCAGCGCAGACCACAGATTAATACTCTGGGATTCTCGGCCAGCACCTACGTGCATGTAAATAAACATAAAGAGAGGAGAGGAAAGTACTATGAGAACTCAGATTAAAACATAAAGCTAGCACTCTTCCAGACAGCCATGGCAAGCTGACAGGCGAAGGAAATTGACTTGAGCTGTACCTGCCAGTGGCAAAGTTTAGGGTGATGAGGGCACCATATGGTTGCAGGACAATACAAAATAATGTGTTCTACATTGGCTTGTGTAGTAGGGAAGTTGGGAGAGGACATGGGGTTTTGGGGCTGTAATAACATAGTCCCGCCGCGTTGGTCTAGTGGCTAAGGTATGCGGCTGCCGACCCGCAGGTCGCGGGATCAAATCCCGGCTGCATTTCCGACAGAGGCTGAAGTTTTGTAGGCCTATGTGCTCAGATTTGGGTGCCTGTTAAAGAACCCCAAGTGGTCGAAATGTCCGGAGCCCTCCACTATGGCGTCTCTCATAATCATATCGTGGCTTTGGGGCATTAAACCCCACATATCAATCAATAAAATAGTCATGGGCAAGCAGATGTGATAAATGAGATAGAGGAAACATGATAGCAGCAAAGCAGATGGGTATGCTGAACAGTATAACTGGTGCAGGTAAACTTGAAGATGGGCTAGTCAACATCACGAAGCAAGTAACATCATGACAAGCATTGTACTGTGTGAAGCCATTGCAGTTTAGTCATAATAGCATTCGACTCAAGCTTGGTTGGGGCTTATTCCAAGTAATGCAAGGCACAGGGCAATTTGTAGGGGACGGGTGCCTTCACTATCGTCACTTAAATATCATCGCTTTTACTAGTTGTCGCAGATTTTCTTGCAGCCACATCTAGGCCACTGCTGCTAAAAATCTCAGTTGTTGGGCAGAAATGCAAGGTACCTTTTCTGCAATGTTGCTCACAGTTGCTGCTGGAGCACCTGGAGTGCCTAGTGTCTCGGCACGAACGGTCCCTACGCATGACCGTGGTAAAAAGGCAAGCCCAGTCTCCAGCTGGTGTCTCCTCCGAGGTCGAAGTGCTCAAAGCTCTCAAATCACTGTTCGAGCACCACAAGGCACTTGATGAGAAGGTCAGTGCATCTTTTTTTTATATATATATAGAATTAACTTTTCGTGCTTTGCCTAATGTTGGAAGTTGTTTAGGGAGCATTTTTTATAAGGAAGAGTTGCGTCGGAGCCTCTATTAGTTGCTTATAGTCAGTCCTTGCACTTTATCTTGCTTAAAGAGAAACTAAAGGGAGACAGTAAATTGGATTATACCGATAATTTAACTCTCAAAAGTGTAGTGTTCCTAACTTTGCTACGATAGCTTTATTAATGTATGAGAAATACAACATTCAGACTGTCAGATTTAAATTTCCCGCCAAAATCTCTTACATTGACATGAGATTTCAAAGTTTTTTTTTTTAAATATTTTGGTCACATTGGCTCAATGAAATTTGCCTAAAAACATGCTATATTAAGTCTCTGGCTCTCCCAAAAAACAATATACTTCATTTTTACCGACTAGAAATTGCATGGGCTGTGTAGTAGACACCTTCAAAACCTAAGATGCCACGACAACTAGTGTGGGAACTTCAAGGTGGTGCCGCCACTCGCATTTTCTCTGGGCGTTTTCTTGCAGCAAGCTTGGTGTTTTTGATATCATGAAAGAGTAATTTACTGGTACAGTTGATACTGGATATATCGAACTCTATGGTGATCGCAATATAGTTTGATATATCGATAATTTGAAATACAAGATATGCATATTTTAGGCCTAAATCAAAGCCTTTCAGGCCTCGGAAATCTATACAAGTGGTAATATAACAATTTTCTCGCAGTATATTGAAGAACAAGGTGTGAGTTACAAGTTACAGCACTTTATTTTGCATAAAACTAGTCCATGAACTTGTCTTGATTTTTGCGTGCCGTCAAAATCCAGTCATCCTCAATGTCATTGAAGCTTCTTAAATAAGGAAATTCAGCTCCTTTGGCCACAACAGCGGTGATTGACGCATAACGCCAATGCAAGCTTTGTAACGTGGCAAAAGGTTGGTTATCGGCGACAGCGAAAACGTTTGTATCATAGGCAGAGCGTACGGGGGTGCTGGGGGGCTCGGACCCCCTCTGGGCTGCATCATGGGGGGCAGAGCCCCCCCCCCCTGGTGTGGTCCCGGCACATTTTTCTAGAGCTAAGCTTAGACTTTCATCTTACGCCAATGTAATGTTGGCCATCCTGTCTTGCAGCTATTTCATAAAGGACTCTGTATACCCGTTTCTTTTCATTTCATCATTTTAAAGTTTGATTATATGGCAGTGACAAGCAGAAAGTCTAGCGCCATCGTCGCATTGAGAACGAAGTCATAGGATGACGAAAACTGTGGAGTTGCATGGTTCTTGTGCAAAATAAGTTCGGGATATGTACGCGTACGTATCTAGAAAATGAGTTTCTTTTTAATTAAAGGGACTCTAAAGTCAAATAACAATTTACATCACAGTGAAAGCTCAATGTATGATGTGTAAAACAACAGTATTATCAGCAGCAGTGCCCTACTTGAATGCACAAGAATATATGCGCCGCAGTAGGACATTTTCGAAATGATCCCGGGGACGTCAGGCGAGTCACCTAAAGTTATTCACTAGTAATCGAAATAGCTGCACTAAATAAAGAGCCTTTTGTTCTGCTTTGATTAGTGTCGGCAGCCGTGCAATAAAGCCGGGCAACCTTGTGCACGGCAACAGTGACGTGAGACGTTCCGTTTATGTGGGTAATTTGAAGTGCGCTAACCAGACGCGGACCACTAAAATGTGATTTTATTTTAAAATAAGCACTTCCTTTGCACAAAAGTAACAATACGAGGTTTCTGGGCGGCCATTTCAATAATCAACGTCGGCTTCATAGTTGCCTTTAGTGTCCCTTTAACAGACACTTGTTTATTATCTTCTCAATACTAAGGCTCTCTGTGAGAGAGAGAGAGGGGGTGTGTATGTGTGTGTGTGTATCTATTGTCATGACCAAGAAACGCTGGGGCATGGTCGCGTGGGGGCAGCTAAGGATTGCGAGGAAGAAGAGGCAGAATAGAACAGCTTGCCCGACGAACGGGTGTTGTCTTTGTCTCGCTCAGTACAATGGCGCAGTTCGACAACTGAACCTTGCGGCTGAGGCCACCTGTACCTCTGTAACTCGCGGGTCGTCAGCAGCATGGGTCTTTCAATCCAGGAACGCCGTCCACGCTTTCTGAGTAATGAAGTTCACGACCCGACCGCTGCTGCAGCTACCCAACGATTCATCGGCCGATGGTGTCAATGCCTCCTCGATGTTCCAGGGTACGACTTGACAGATGGCAGGCTACCACTTTTATCTCAGTATGCGCATGGACTGCTATCATCTGAGAACGTTGCGCACGCTTTCCGTGGCCTGTATCTCAGGCACAGTCCTCTTACAACGGGTGAACAACCAAGGGATGCTCTTCAGGCTTCCTTGGGCGTGGTTGTCGCCACCGTGAATACTGCTAGCACCGCATGCTCAGCAGACGCGAACCAGAGTGGTTCCGAGGCCTCATGCGACAGTGCCGTGGAGCTGCGGCGTACCATCGCGCGACTCGGTGTCACAGTCAACGCTGTTACAGCGACGACATCCGTGCTGTTCCCTGCCATCTTGCCGGTCCTGAGTGCTAGCGACGGCATGTTGGATGCAGTCGCCTCACAAGACCTCAAGGCCTGCTCATCTGAGCAACGCGAAGATCTGAGGTGCGCCCTCCTGCAGCTCTCAAACCAGATCTGCTGCTTCGACTCGGTAATCTCTGCATTCTCACATGCTGACCCACCATCACAGGCCATCAGCGAACCACCAGAGTTTGACGGGCTCCAGAACGACGCCAACCACTGGGTGGCAGCCGTCAACGCGCACGCAGCGCGCGTGTCCTGAACAGAGCATCAGAAATGGTGCGTGGCTGTGGACCAGCTTCGGGCAGGTGCAGTGGCGTGGCACCGGTATGAAGGCGTGAAGCAGCACACCTGGGCGGAGTGGAGCTCCAAGCTCATAGCTGCCTTCGTCGGATTCCCGATGCCTTGACCAAGTCCCAGACTTTCACCGAGGACGGAGCCCACTATTGGCACCACCTCAAGGCTGCAATGGTTCGTTGCAGCTCGTCGATGGAATGCAACGAGGAGTTTCTTGTTGCTGACCCTGACCGGAGTGCCTGCAGTTCTGCTCTGCAGGTCCCGGACTTCGCATCGGTATTCGACCTGAAAATACCCACACCAGACCTTCATCCGGATATACTGCCCTCGCGCACATCGTTGTCTGAGGACATGGAGGCGCTTACCCCTATCGTACCAGACACAACTGACCCCTACCAGACCACAATCATCAGTAACAAAATGTACTCCTTACCGCTTCACAAAGCAGAACTTTCCGAGGATGCGAACAAGATCAGCCGTGACCTGACACAGCCATATTTTCGGACGCGCAGACGCTAGCCGCGCAAACACTCGACTCCCAAGGGATGTTTCCTTCGTGAAAACTCAGCTATCTAGGCAGGCTGAGGTCCCTGCCATTGAGAACTCATCGAGGACCAGCCCCCCTGCTGTTCCCTCCAAGGACACCACGTATGCACGCGACAGTTCGCCAGAAGCCACTGGCTCGACTATGTCAGAGAGTTCTGCTGCGGTATTGATGCCCAACCATCAGCTGCGTCGCGTCTCATTTCGAGAAACGGCCCGAACGTCCACACGGCTACCTTGCAGAGCATCCCGCTGCAGTTCGGTGCCCCAGTGGCGGTGGTACTAACACCAGCATTTCCAGGTTACTCTGCGACCTTGTCGGAACAGTCAGGGCCGTCCACCTGAACTGTATTCTACGAATTGTCAGGAAGCGTTACACCATGGGCGAGTTAGACCACAGCGACAGAGCCAATTCCGCCCACCAGAAAGCACACTGACAGATATTCAAGCAGAGGCGCACAGTGGCGTAGACCAACCATTCGAGGCAGCCAGTGTCGTCCACCAGAGACGCTTCTCCCAGACCGTCACCCAATGTTGCATTGTGGTCCGGGCGGACCACCATGATGCATCCAAGCCCGCCCATCAGAAACTTTGCCGCCAGCTCCGCGCGCGCAGTCATGGACTAGTGTCATGACCAAGAAACGCTGGGGCTTGGGTGCGTGGGGGCAGCTAAGGAAAGCGAGGAAGAAGAGGCAGAATAGAACAGCTTGCCGGACGAACGGGTGTTGTCTCTGTCTCGCTCATGACACTATATATATATATATATGTATATATATAGATAGAGAGAGAGAGAGAAAGAGAGAGACAGATGAGTATGTGAAAGAGCACTCTCCACCTATAGTTGGCATAGTGGCATATTCATAACTGCGCGGGTACACTTCCACGGCAGCAGCAACGCAGCCATGATCACAGCATCCATGCAGTCAGAAAGAGCTACGTCGTCAACTGCACCGATGCTATAATACGAGAAGCCAAAAGCTGCTCTAATGCGAAAAACTAAAAAAAGCGTAGCCTTTGAGGCATGCGTTTTAAAACCGAAAACACTAAAAGTACGTCGTGAGCTTGCACATCTCGAAGGCTGGGTTTTTTTTAGCTTAAGGAAGGGAATGCGAACATTGCAACGAAATCACTAAGTCACTTTGCATTCTCATTTTAGTGTCCTCGGCAATCGGTCTTTTTTAAAAATGCTGCCCCTGCGCGTTAAGACCTGCAAATCGTGCATTAAACATACTGGTGCACTCGCAAGCGCCACACAACAGACCAGATCAGCACGATAAAGTCACAGTCTTTTCGTCACCTGCGCGAGAGAAGGGATCAGAACTTCTTAGAACCCAGATGAAAATTGATCAATATGTGCTAGGGAAAATGCACTTTCTGGTCTTCAACGCGGCATAGCGTTCGATATAGCGGATGTCTCACTGTGCAAGAGTTCATTATACGAGTGCACTGGTCCCATACTTTTTCATGGGAAATTCAAGGGGATTTCTCAACTGTTCGATATAGCCAATAATACAATATATCTGAATTTGATATATGCGGGATCACCTGTACAAGAAAGATCGTTTGTTTCTTTGGTGTTCCTTTAATCTACAGTAAAAATATTGTAAAACTTCTAAGTTCGAAATTACATATTGTTAATGATTGGCAATCAGTGGAAATTTTTGTGGCACTCTTGTAGTTGTCTACTATTCTGCCCTGTAAAATAAACATCACTCGACGTAGCAGTACTTTTTTTTTCTGGAGTGCTTGCTCCTTTCAATGACGAATCATTTCAGCTATGAATTGCATATAGTCAATTGCATTATAAGGAAAAAGATCTCGTTGGCAATTACTGGCCAGTTTGCTACTCAAGGTGGACAAGTCAATGCGCATTTCATTGAAGATGCATGTAGTGTCGCATTCAATATGACTTGCAACATGGGAGTGTATAGCCTCATGAGCACAAAGATTGTGCATGGTTTTAATTTGCCCTCATTTCCACATCCAAATGATATTCTCTAAGTTGGAGTGATCACCAAGTGAAAGAACAGCATTTAGTTGTGGAAATGAGGGATAGTGGAAGCCATGGGTGAGCTTTGACTTTGAGAAGCTACGCACTCTCACGTTTCAAGTTATTAAAAGCGCGAATGTGCATCTTAGTCATTTCATCTTGGCACTGTATCGGCAGTCAGCAAGTTGATTCTAAGTGATCTAGATAAGCATTGGTACAATGAAGGTGGGGTCGTGTGCATTATTTTATTCCATTTCTACGTGCTTGATTATTTCACAAGTGAACAGCTCCCATTAAGCTTCTTCCCTCACTTTCACTTGTGCAGGTGAGAGAACGATTGAGAGTTGCATTGGAACGTGTCAGCACCTTGGAAGAAGAGCTCAACAAAGCGAACGAAGAGGTCAGATGTATTTTGCTTCTTGTGAACTATGTTATTGTTTTATCGAGGTCTCCTATGCCTGGAAGCAGTGTGCGCCTAACACGGCTACTTGCCCTTTGGTTCCAGATTACCCAATACAAGACCAAAGGTGTGACCACAATATCGGAAGATAGAAAAAGCGGGGAGGGGCCAATAGAAAACTCTTTACATGTCAACAAGGTGAGTGTGCCGGTCCTTGACTGTTGCTTGATTTTTTTTTGTTACCTTTTGAGGACTTCTGCTTTTATGTAGGAAGTGCATTAGATGAAGCCCCGCTGACACACACATTTTTCATCCTGCTCTTGCCTTTTTAGGCAGGTGCTGTCCCTGTATGAAGGCACAGGGCTTCACTTCGGTATCGATTTATTACATTGCCTTTTATCTGACCCACATGCCAGTGAGCTCGAGTATGATGGCTGAAAGCTCCACAGTGACCCTTTTGTTTAAACTGCCCATGTGGATCTTCCATTTATGCACTTTTCTTAGCTGAGGCAGTTGTCTTGTACTCATTTCGAGGGTTTCTTGTTTTGTAGAAACTGCTGTAGGACTAATGCTCTGTATTTAACTTACGGGTAACAGCTGAAATGGTATAGCTTATTGAAAAGTGGAAAAAGATGTGGTGACAGTAATGTGACAGAATTATGATAAATATGAGGAACCTTCTGACTTTGTAACCAGTCAGATGTCATAATTATAGTTTCCAAATTGCGGCTGCCATAAACATGGCTCAGGGTTTGTTACCTGTGTTTGCTCTCCTCATCCACTTGTCTAGAGTGTTAGTACATAATTTATTTAGATGGAGTCTAATAAAACTTATGAAGTCTGAAGAGCAAGCAACCAAAGCAGGACAGCTGATTGCCTTGTTGACAAAAAAAATAAAAATAGTGCCGCTCCTGCACTGGGCAATGTGCTCCGAAAGTGTGGTCACTGACAGTTCGGCTTGTGACATCATTCTGGAGTGCACGCTTATTGGTCATGGCTTGCGTGCATCTGCTTTTGAGGAGGAAATGCCACAGACTTCTAAAGTTGTCTCCGACTACAGGCGTTCTTTGCGGGCAGCAATTATTTTGTACTCGCGAGCCATATCCCCCCTGTTTCCTGTATGCTTCAGAGCCACTTGGCTTCACAAAACACTGCGCTCGTAGGTGTCTAATGGTACTGCGGACGCTGTGGAAGAAGCATGCAAGCTGGTGGAGCTGCGGGAACTTGTGGAGAAGCAGGCGGCAGAGCTTGCAGTGGCGCGCAGCCGACTCAACGAGTTGCTGCCACGGGTGCGTGAGCTCGAGGAAGCTCTGGCCCTGGCGCAGAAGGAAGTCACTCGCATGAAAGAGGAGAATGCTCGACTTGCGAGGGACCTCAAGGAGGTATGTAGCTTACATCTTTGGATCATCCTCTCTTCTTGTGTTTTTAAGGCAGAAACCTCAAAGGGTTGCTGGAGAACAAAAAATACAAAAAATGACGAATACTTTGAAATTCTATTAGGTAGATGCGATTGTTTTGATGACCAAAGTTTACTTCATGTATTTATGAGCAGTTGGCTGTATTTATTTTAGAATTGTCACTGTGCATCGTGGCTGCATGGCAGTGTGCATGAGGCTGCACATTGACAGTAGTGACATCAGTAGCCCACTCAGCTAATGCAGGGTGCACCTCGCGGAGACTCTTTCTCTGCCTCTCGTTTAAATCCCTTTCTGCTCCCACTTTTGCAGATCTGCTGAAATGTGTACTACCCTTTCGGTTGTTTACTCTATGTAGGAGCATTGTTTGCTGCAAGTGCCACTCGTACTGGTTCTAGGAAGCGTAATGGAAGCAGAGGGTGCTGAGGCATGTGGGTGGTACCTAGAAAGATTATTATGCCTGTTTCCGGAAGTGTCACCTCCCCTCTATTTCAGGACACAGCCACTAGACGTGGCAGTTTGTGAAAAATACGTTAAATGTAAATTCATTATTTTTCGCTAGTTCTTACGTAAAATGAAAGTCGTGTCTCTTGATTTCAGTGCATCCAATCTTTTAATTTGACTTAAAGTTTAGCCTGGAAAAATTTTGTGCGTTATCTCTTGTGGGCTGCATTAGGCGCTGACCCTGATAAATGCGGCCTTGATTATCGTGACCTCAGTGAGTATAATAGAAGTGTAATAGAAGTGAGATAAAAATCACAGTTTGAGCCATAATCAAACCCAGACATTCTGCATGGCATTGAAGTAATTCTGCCACAGGGCCACACCAGCGGTTGAAACCACTATGGAAGAAGGCCCTATACAGTCATGATGTCAGGCAAGGGGCCATGTTAACATATGTAACATTGTATGGCAGAAGCACTAAATTGCACCAGGCATGTCACTATGTAAGTTGAGTAAGGCGTGGATGGTTGAAAAATGCATACCCATTGCAAAGGGCTGAGCTCTAAATCATCAGCAGCAGCCACAGCATTAGCAAAGTGTGGAGCTACTCACGGGACCGCTCAAGCTCCAATGGTGATCATCACAAAATAGCCACACCTGATGGTTTTCACTTTTCACACATATTTCAAACAAAAGCAAACAGCCCCTGTGAGTTTTTTCTTTTTCTTTTTGTATCACTGAAATTCATTGTTTTCTCACACTCTTTAGTTGTCTTGGTATCATTTGAGGTAGCACAATCTTTTGTATGTCGACTTGTCCCCATTGCAGAACAATGCACAGAAGGAAGACCAAGAAGAGAGGATATCAACGTTGGAAAAGCGTTGTCTCAATGCCCAGCGTGAATCGGTCTCCCTACACGACTTGAATGAAAAGCTTGAGCAGGAGCTTGCTAACAAGGAAGCGCAGCTGAAATTGGTGAGTGGCTATTTCTCCTGGCTGCCTTTGATATTTTTGAGGCTTTTCTATAATAGCAAAGAGAAAGTAGCTTTTGCATGCGCTGAAATAAATTAGCCGTAATATGTTTATCCTATGTGTGTATCATCTAGTGCACATGGAATCTGAAGGAATGCATATGCATGCTCATGGTGAAGTTTGAGCAGAGTGCATAATAGAGGAAAAATGGCATTAACTTGACTTGCAGAAAGGCTATACTTGCATACATTTAGTGATCTTTGCGAATGGTTAACTGTGAAGAGCAATGCCGTTTGATGCAGTTGCTCTACGTCTCTATGGTCTGTTTTTTCAGAGTGAAGAAAAAATCAAAGCTCTCCAGGAACGCCTGGAATTGGCTGAACAAAAACTTGCACAGTTTGCCAAGAAGGAGACAGACGTGGATGTTTCATCGATTATTGCTCACGTAAGCATCTTTCACCCTTGGACCTTCAGCTGTTTGTCTGAGAGTTGTTTTGTTTAATAGGAAAAGCATGGCTCCATGGAGGACACAGTCAGTCGACTGGAGCAGCAACTCGAAGAAAAAGCCGGGGAGCTTATGCGGGTAAGTGTGACAATGATATTCATTACGTTGGGTACCATGTACAGAAAGAATTTGATTAATTGATTGATTCTCATTGTAAAGGTCTGCATCATTTTTTACTAGAAACTATGCTTAAAAAAATATTATCGGTGATGCACTAGACCCACTGGCATGCACTTCAGTTGGGAAGTTCAGCCAACCATACACAATATTGTCCATTTACAAGCACCACTTGTCAGGTGTGTTCTAATGCGCTCCAATAGTAAGGGCCGTATGAGTGTGAGAGACGGTATTTTCGGGTTACATTTACTCTTGTAATAGTCTTTGGGGAGCTCTACTTGCAAGAAGCACAGTTTAGCCATGAAATATAAGTTGCACGCTTAGCTGGTTGTCAGATTTCTGCACTTTTATCACATGTGCTTTAATGTTCACTCGTAGGCGCGCCAGCGGGAAAAGATGAATGATGACCACAACCAGAAGCTGTCGGCGACAGTTGACAAGCTTTTGGCGGAGAGCAACGATCGGTTGCAGATGCACCTCAAGGAGCGTATGCACGCCTTGGACGAGAAGAACATGCTGACACAGGAATTGGAGCGCACACGCAAGGTCCTCGACGAGACCCAGGGAGAAAAGGTGTGGCCTCGGCTCTTGTGCTTTTGTGTTGCTCATAGCTTCTTCGGCCTTTTTGTACTTGAATCTAGTTCTGCCCTTTGTTTTTTAAAGGTGCACCTCAGTAGTCTTGGACTTCTTGTGTGATAAGGGGTTGTGTGCCACTTGCACAGATAACTCACATGCCATCCCTATTGCTGGCTGATAATGTGTAGCCATGTTTAATGGTCAATCTTTCCTGTTGCTAATGTCTCAAGTGTACATCTAAAATCAAAGTAGGCTAACCGAGGGCTCCGCAATATGGCAAAGTTCCCTTGATGTCTTGGTGCGTAGCCTGAGACTGAAAACAGCAACTTGTTTTTAGTCTCGCCATTGTAGACATCAATGTGCACTCCCGTGGTTTTGGGTCGTTAAACCACAACAATATTATTGTTATCAAAGTCCACTGATCAGCTCTAGATGATCGGCTCCAGAAATATTCTTTTCTACTGGGAAGCTCTTGTTTGCATACTTTGGATCCAATATGTATGTACATTTAAGTATCAGCGCTGGCAGGAATATTTTGTCTAAGTTAAAACGCAAAAGCCACCTTTCGCTTGGATACAGGCTCGTAGTCATAAGTTATGGGTATTTCCTGGGAAAGAAGAAAGATGTGTCAAATATTCTGCGCAACGGGGGAAAGGTACTTCATTTTTGTTTCTAAAAGCACTAGCTATTTTTGGCAAAAAACATGAATTCGGCCTGTGGGAGCAAGGGAAACAGGCTATAAGGAAGCCTTACTTTACGCACGGCCTCGACAGGAAACATGATGCTTGTGAGGAACTCATTGTAATAACCTCGCATGAGCTGAAACAATCATGAGGTGTTAGCCACAGCCGCTGTTAAGCATAGTCTGAAAAAGTTGGATGACGTTTGTAAATTACGCTTCTAGAAGTACCTGAAAGGTCAGCCTTGCCATGAGCTGAGCTAGAAAAAAAAATGCTTAACTTAGTCAATAAGTTCCAACATTAGCATGGCATGATCTGATGAGATTTGGGCGGACTGGTTATTGATGAACTTATTTACTAGGATTTAAATTGCTGAGTCAAATCAGAAAGCAACTGAGCAGGGGTACAACAGCAGCTTTAAATGCACCAATTTGATACACATAGTTACTTTTGCAGCAAGTGAGCAAAACTGTGAAGTTTGTTGTAATTTTACCCCACTGTGCCAAAATACCTGACCACTCAGCATTTTCTGAGTTGTGCTGACTTTAGCAAAATATGGAGGCTGCGTTGGCCACCAGCTTCATCATTTTATGCAATTTAAATTCACCGGCACTACAGTAAAGCCTTGATATAGCGAATACAGATGTAAGAAATTATTGTTTATGACGAAGTTAATGAAAAATAGTCATTGCCATTTATTCAGTATCATGAAACAGTGTTAACAAATTTGTTATAATGAAGCATTTTTCGCGTCTAATGTATTTTCGTTTTAATGAGCCTTGACTTAATGCTAATCCTGCTGCGAAAGAAAACAATGAAGTACAGGGATTCTAAAAATTTCTTGACTTGTTTCATCACGCCTGTGACATCTACAAAAATTACTGGTAGTTATTCAAAACTATGGATGACGTTTCTGTGGCCCTGAGGAGCAATAAACAGAAACGTAGGCCACTTTTTATTTTTTTTCTAGTCAGCTTCCTATGTTGTATTGCAAGTTTTTAAAAACGTTGGAGAAAGTCTGCAGTCGTCACAATGCAAAGTGACCTCAAAAATATCTCAAGCAGTCGGAAAATAATAATTTTTTGCTGTGATAAATACGATGCACTATATCATGTGGTTGGGTTGTGTATATTTGTTTTGTAGGAATAAATAATTATGCCGTGTTGCTATTTGCCTGATGTTAGTAAGCAGCAATGTCTTGTTCAGAAATTTCCCATCAGTTTAGATGAAGCACGTCTCTGGAATGGAAGCATTGATTGACACAACATATCAGAAAGATTGGCCGTGCATTGTATTTTTCCTACCAAACAGCAGCAGCAGTGGTGCCCTTTATGTTATGTTGCAGCTGTAAATCGAATATAAACCTATGCATATTAAGTTTTCTCTTTTGCACAAATTTGCTAATGTTGTCGAGTGTGTTCTGGGAACTTATTTTTCTCTTCTCTTTGTTTCATCACAGGAAAAAATCTTTGAGGAGTTGTCCAAAGTGAGAGCAGAGATGGAGATGATTCGCCGTGATGTCCAGAACTACAGGACAGAGTCTCTTTCAAGGTGAACTGTGACAGATCTGCGTCTATGCTTACATGGAAGGGTCTGACAAAAGTCTCATACGTCAAAGTGATCGCACATTTGCATTGCTATGCATATAGCGATGTAAAATTATTGTGAAACAGTAGAACTTGTGTGTCTTTCTCTGTGCATTCATTTGATGCCATAATGCTCTTATCACAATGCTATTCAGCTTGGTCCACTGTTAAAAGGGAATTTACAGTAGGGGTTTGTGTCATTGGTTATTGCCAAGATATGGTGCAGGGACTCTAAAACGAGTTATTGTGTAAACATATACCTAATTTATTTTTACAGGGTGACTTTTTTTTTTCATCATGAGAGACTCGAATCGTGTCTGATTATGTTGCTTTTTTGATAGGTGATAGTTTTCTTCAACAGTGTACTAGACTGTACAAACAAAATCATGCTCAATTTTAGCAAATTGGCACATGCTTGATATAAAGAATAGTGCTAACATTGAATGCAGGGTTCAACCTTTTAGCCTCATTTTATAACTTGTTTACAAGAAAAGCTTTTCACCATCTCTCTGTGTGATGGTGTTTCAGATTAAATCAGAAATTGCTTTTTCCGGGCAGTGGCTACCAGATTTGCTGGCTGCTCTTGTTTTCGTACGACAGCTGCAGTGTTTTTCATGAATATTTTTATGCTGACTTCACCGGGAGTCTTATTCATGCTCTATCAAGTGCAACATTTTTTTGTTGCATAGACAGGTTCTTTTGCTTACTGAGAGTTTATTTAGATAGTGGTCAACATAGTGACATGTGTAGAGCTTGGATAGTAAGTATGTGCCTTGAGGAGCCCCTTTCTCCACAAAACATTGCAGGGTGACTTCAGCACGGAGTCTTGCGCACCATTCGCCCCTTTCTCCACAACGAGGCGGAAGCAACGTACTGTCGCCACCGTCGATGGTGGGTCTGGTACCACCGTCCACTTCGGAGGCGACTTCAGGGGTGGTCTCGTCGGTGGACGCTTTCCGTTCCACTTTGTCTGTTGGTGGTGGTGGGCTGGACATCAGCTCGGGCCCACCCACTACACCAGGCACCCAGCACCGCACCCTGCCGAGGGTCAGACGTCGGTCCCTCGATGAAGACTCTGGCAAGGTAAATTGGTCTACCAAGAGTCGCAGGAGGACGCTGTTGAACCAATGCCTGCTAAAAAGGCTGTGCCTAGAACGTCACTCTTTCATAGAGAGCCCCCTGCTGGCGCGCTATTTCGGAGGCCACCGTGCCTCCAGTTACATGCTACGACCAGACGCCGTGGCAGAGTGCTTACCACCTAACGACTTCATCATGTGATCGACGCTTAGTCATGTGCCTCTGAGCAGCTGCTAACGAAGTTGGCGGCTGCTCAGAGGCGTGTTTTCAAGGAGCAATATATCGCATAATTGTATCCGAGAGCATAACTTTGCTAAGCAATTAAAAATGCACAAATGTTGCTGAAATATGCTAGAGCTCTAATGTCTTAAGCTATGGACTGGTGTTTATTGGAAGTACCATTCTTTAGCCCATTAGGCCTATTGCTAAGGACAATTAAATAGATCTTAGGAATTTGTAGCTTGGCTAGTTGGTACAACTTCAGGACAAGATGGAAAAAGCTCGAACACATGTACATGTAAAGGCATGTGCTTTGTCATCTTGATAGGTTTGTGTTTGGAGGGGGGGGGAGGTAGGGGTTCACTTGTTAAGCTTTTTCTTTCGTGGTGTTTGAGATAGGAAAGACACATGTAGAGAACACAACAATAGTTCAGGGGCAGTGCATCTGTTCACAACTTGCTACTTCTCTTCCGCCAACACTGTTTCACTGATTAGACTGCATCGCAGTGCCCAACATGTAGTAGGTAAAATCAGCATCGCTGCAGGTCTTTAGTGCTTTGAATGTAGAATTTTGCAGTTCATGTGTTTAATATCCAGTACACTATTCACCAATATAACCCATCAAGCCCACATTCTAATGTACAGTAAACTCTCATAAAACAGAATCTGAAGGAACCGGGAAAATATGTTCCATTTAACAGGATTTTTGTTTACTGAGAGGTGATCATGGGTTCAGAATACAAGCTCGAAACCAAGCATTGCAGAGGTAATAGTTCCGTTTAAACAGTAGTTCCAGTAAACAGCTTTCTGTTTAGTTAGAGTCTACTGTATTGCCATGGCATTTAGCACGCTTGGGAGTTGCTATTTGCCTGGCATGGTGTGTGATTTAGTGTTTGCCTACTTCCCTCCCTCTATCCTCAACAATGACTTTCGGCCCTTTCTTATCTGACTAAGAGGATTCATTGTCTATGATCTGGGTCAGCCGAAGAGAAGTGTTTGCATTGTATGATGTTCAGATCTCTGAAAATTCGCAGAGATGTTAATCAGCGAATGGCTTGTGCCCCCAGGGCATGGGTGACTCTGAGTGGGACAAGGTGGTTCCGGGAGGTACTGGCAGTGGTCTGGACGGAGGGGTCAGTGACCCTGAGTGCAGTCCCACGGAGGAAGACGAAGAGGACGGTGGTGGAGCGGGCCTTTTGGACAGCATGGACCACCTGCTGTCCCCAGTGGGGCACCACTCAGATGCCCAGGCACTGGCGCTAATGCTGCAGGAACAGCTGGATGCCATCAACAACGAGATACGGTGAGCTCTTCGTAGACCAGTGCCCGTTAGTTTTTTTTTTCCACTTTCATGCTTTTTTTTTATTAGTGATTTGCATAAATGCCAACAGGACGAGAGCTGATTGGAACATAGGTAATAAAAAAAGCTCCTGGCATTGCAACTTTCTTTAAAAGCATTCAGTGCATTATTACAGGGCCTACTGAAAATGCACTCTGATCTGGTAGTCCCTCGTCATTAGAGGCATGCAGTGTGCCTGATGGTCTTTGGCTTGGTGCTGTATATAGCTTTCCTCGTTCTTTTACTTATTTACTTGTTTTTGTATGCCTCGTAATAAGCAATTTGGCTTCACTTTTTGACACAGTTCTGAAGAGTGCTATGTGCGCTCAGGCGCAAAGTAATGTCATAAGGGAGCAGCATGGCACATATAGATGACCCTTGCAGGTGAACCGTGTTGTCTGCTGTGGATGATTAAATTCTTTTTGACAAATAAGCACACTTGAATAAGAAGTTGTTCTATTCATTACTGGAATATTAGAGAGTTCATAGAAATAGGTAAGTCTGCTGAGCATAGATCCTACTGTAAAATCTGAGTTTCAGGCACTCATTAGTCTAAACTAGAGCTGTGCGTATAGCAAAAGTTTGGGTTCAAAGTGAATTCAAGTTTATGACGTTTGAGAGTGAATCGAATGGAATAATGGTCGAATATTTCTCAAATATTTTTAGAACACTTTGAAGCGAATTTAAAGAAAAAAAAAGTGGCTAAGAATCTTTGAGCATATTTTTATAAGAAACGAACACTTAGAAGTCACAAACAGTCAAAGAACAGGTTTATTCCTAACGATTATGCGGCTTTTGTATCACAAGAAATAAAAAAAGTCATTTGTTTTAAAACCATATATTTGCTTTTTGTAATCATTTTTTCCAATTTCACAATATCTTTATTGAAAACTATGTAAAAGTGTGGTAAAAAATTTGTTGTGCTTGCTCAAGTGGTAAAATTTATGTAGACATCACACGCACAAAAAAAAAACTGCTTATTAAAAGCATTATAGTTTCCCAACAGCGTCACCAGGCTGCGTCATTTTGGGCTCTTTGGAAAGAACATTCCTCGGTCTTCAAATTTCAGCTCAGCGAGGTCTTACATTGAAAGATCAATGCACAAAAAGGAAATGTTTAAAGTTCATTTCGAAGTCTTCGATTGGCTGTGTCGTCATATTGCTCCAGCATGCCTCGCCATTGGTTCGATCCTTGCTCCTGTAGAGCATCTTCCGCCGCTTGTGCATCGCAAGGTCATGGATGTTTAAAGTCGCACTACCCAGTGATGCATTTGCACTCGTTCTGGGTTCAAGGGTCAACAATCATTTAAAATGTAATTATGCGTTAGTTCGGCAGCTGCAAGCAAAAACAGGATGACCAGATTACGATAGTGAACCTCACTTGCTGTGAACATCGCCGATGCATGTCTCAGACTGCCTGTACATTCTGCTTATTAGCACTTCGCACCTCATAACGAACACCATCGTGAGACGACCTTTATTACTCGTAATCAAGCATGATGCACTTTAAAACATAGAGTTCAGCAGCCACACACATCACGACCAAGCTTACTGCTTGGAGTCACCACTGGGCCTAACTAACTCCACTCTCACCGCCTAAACATATGCAAACTTTGTGGGGAAGGATATCGCAGCAGTGTACATGCGAAAGCGAAGCCGCAACGTGCTTTGTCGCAATGATACGCCTTCTGGCTCCTCAGAACCGTCGATGGGCATGGGCATTTTGTGCATCGTCAGCGTCGTCCCTCACCTCCCCTCTTGGTTAAGCTCGTTGTACAGCGACCGCTCAGAGCACTGGTGGAAGCGGCTAGCAGTTTCACTCATTGGCGTCCCAAAACGCAAGACCAAGCACACTGCATGCCAATTTATTGTCATATTTATTTCCTGGAAGTTTGAATACTTCGAATAGTAAAATTTCTGTGCGAATCGAATTGAGTAGCAAGCTCTATTAGAAAATTATTCGCCCTCCTCCCCCTAGTTTAAACTGAACTAGTGTTTCTCTATAGTGTCCTTTAGATTTCTGTAGCTGCTGTTATGCTAAGGCTGGTGTCCATCTTTGTTCAGGCTAATTCAGGAGGAGAAGCAGAGCACAGAGCAGCGTGCTGAGGAGCTGGAGTCGCGTGTCGGTAGCAGCAGCCTTGAGCCCCTGGGGGCTTGCTGTCACGAGGACGCTCCTTCGACCGAGGTTCGCCACCCCTCAGTGGGCGGTCGACACCACCTTCTTCTGCTGGCCCACCAACTCACCACAGCCCCCAGCGGGAGTACCTGCCCAAGTACCACACTGTGAGCATGTGGCAGACCCTGATTCTTGTCATTTAATTTTATTTTGCTGATTTGCAGATTCATTTTTTGTACTCGTTACGCCCGGGCAAGCGTATAGTACAGTGGACTCCTCTTAAACGCCCTCTCCATTTATGAGTAGTTTCATTTAAGCAAAGTCCACGAAATGAATGAAATATGACTTCATTTCAAAAGCACGAACTGTGGTTGACTGAACAAAAACATTTTGAATTAGAGAATACTACTACAGTTGATTAGAAAAAAAAGTGTTGCTAATATTGCTGACTTGAAAAAAAAGGAGGTGATAATTTGCTCGTCCTTGTTCAAGCACTTTCTCACAAGTAGGAGAGTGCATTGCTGAAAGGCTGGGTAGGAACTCTGTGCCACCATTATGTTGACAACAGGATGACAGCATCTATTGCTGCAATGTCAGCGACTGAAACGAGCTCGGGAACACACACTATCTCATCACCACTTGAGCACAGGTCCTCATCTTGAACTTCAGCTATAGGTTTATTGAGGCTGTCCTCAAGTTCACGACAAGACGTCCATTGCTGCTCAACGTGCGAGGACATGCGGAATCACCGGATTGGCTTGGCTAGGCTAGCTTTGGAATTCGCTTCTTGGTTGCTAGACTGCCGTGGCCCTTTCTGCCTTTCATGGATTTTGCCGCGTTTTAGTTTCATTTAACCGATGTAAGCGGAAAAAAATTTTCCGATTACCCGAAACTTTTTATCATTAAATATGTAGGAGACCAACCAAATAAGCTTAGATAGTTTCGTTTATGCGGCTTTTTCATTTAACCGAGTTTCGTTTAATGGGAGTCGACTGTACTCTGCAGTGAACCCCTTTTGATATCTGAGGCACTCTTTGCAGAAAAAGGTTGCCCCAATGACTCATGTTATTGCACTAAGTTCTATAGGGGGTCGAAAAGTAAAAAAAATAAAAAGAGCTGCTACTTAAATTAGCAGAAAAGGCAACATTTTAAAGAGCCATGCTGTTTGTTGATGGTGCGCATTGTGCAGACTCCAGTGCCTCATGTGCTTGCTTGGATCAACTGCAGTGTTCATATTTGAACCTCAGAATTTTCAGGGTACTCAAGTCACACTCTTGTGGCTGACTCATCTACTTCTCATGTGCGTTGCAGGTGCCAGCGTCCCTGGAGGTACGAGATGACCGATTGTTGAGGAGAGAGACAAGTCCACCTACGCCACGGTCGATGCGCATTGACCGAGTAGCCCAAGCTCTGGCACAGAGCTCAGAAGAGCTGCGAAGGTAATGCTCACGCCTCGAAGATTTCACATCCATGAGCTGTAAACCCAATGATGGATCTCGTATAGTTCACATGAGAGTGGTGCTTATGTGCAGGGCTTGTTATTTTTTATTCATGCTTTCATTGCCAAGAAGATATGGCCGATGCTGACTATTCACTCCTGCTGTAGACATGATTCGCATGCAGTTTAGGTTTTTTGTGTGTGTGTACAGGTAGCAGAACAATGCCACATACACCTGCTTTCCATTTTGTCAACAATTTAAATCTGCAATACTAGAAAACTTATATTGCTTTTTTTACACAAGGCATCACTGGCATACAAACATGGTTGTTGCAAGATGGGCTTTCCAGTCAGTCACATCTAGCCACATTTTATAAGCCATGAAATATGAGAAAAATAAAGGGGGGGCGGGGGGGGAGAGATTCTTGACTACTATAAACTTGTAGCTTTGTGTAGTATCTCCTAAAAAGGCATCTCTTAAGATGCCTACTGAATTATTTCTAGTGAAAGTTCATTAATTGTGCGTTCCATTGTATTGTTTCTGTGCTTGCATCAGGTGGGTTTTTTTCTGCGGCTTTTCTATATGCCCTTTCTTCATTGTCTTTGGATTTCAACAAAGCCAAGCTGCCTTCTCTCACCAAGTGGCATTTCATTTGCAGAACGGGCTTGAAGGTTCTTTTTCTTGCGAGTGTGTTACCTGGACGCAGTTGCTTGATTCCGCGCAATCTTGTCTTTCTCCTCTCGCAGGTCCTTTGGGCCATCTCTGTCACAGCATGCAGCTTTGGGCGGCAGCCCCGCTTGTCTGTCGGGCATCCCGCCAGATGCTTTGCTCAGGTGGGACACTTGCTGTCTCTCTGAGTGGCCTTGCATTTATTCTTTTGACAGAGTTCCCAAGCTTTGTTTGGCTACCTGTCCATACTGCTAGCCCTCTCTGTGCAGCTTGCTATAAATGTAAACTGGCACGGCAAAGAGCACCCAGTGGTGTTCTGAAATCCTGATGTTGTTGGCGGCCTCGTTGTTGGAATGTGCGAAAACCTTGCCTGACTAGCCATTGACGTCGCACCAAATTGCAAGTGCTCACAGGGTACATAAACTGTGCTTGGCAGGTTATACTCGCAGGAATGACTGGGTAGTCGAAAAGCGTATAACAGTTTCTCTACATGAAAAAGCTTAACTGCCATATGCTGAAAATCAGAAGAAAACTACACAGAAAAAACATCCGCTTTCCATAAAGGGAGCTTTAGAGTTGTAGAACAGTCTGCTCTAGTCAGGAGATGGAACCCAGGTTGCTTTCTTACACGAACTAAACGGGGGGTTAGCAGGTTGCAGGACATGAAATTGGGTATATCCAGATAAGGGTGAGCACAAGGAATGGGTCACGATTCCCAATTTCTACTAAAATTACTTTGGGTTGGGTGTAAGCTTTAGAGCTGAAACAATGATTCTGAAATTTTAGTAAAAAAAATTGTGTTTGTCAATGGAAACATATATATAAATTTTGTTCGCTAAGTTCGAAAGCTGCTATGGCATTGCATGTGCTGCTAACTCATGCCTGCATGTGTGGAAAGGCAGCCCAGACGTGTAGGCTCTCATTCCTGGGGGATGCAGGCCATGTGGGCGATCATGTGAAGCTATGACAGGCTGCCAGCATGTAAAGAGTGGGAGAATGAATGCAGTAATAGTGGGAGCAGGACACGCAAAACGTTGCGAGAAGGGGGTCAGTGCCATCTATCGCATAAGCCATGAGATAATTAGAGCAACCACCATAGTTGTTCTGGTGGTGAGCATTTCCAGGGACTGCTGCCACCTTTAGTGCCATTTGGCACAAAGGGCACTACTGATCCAGTCCATTGTTACATGTGTGGGCAAGGCCTTGTCAAAATAATACTATGGCCGGTACTAGAGTGGTTAGATGTTCTAACTAGGGGTGTGCTAATATTCGAAACTCCAAATATTTTTCTATTAGTGTTTGCAATTCTATTCAATTCGCACCAAAGTTTTGCTATTCGAAGTATTCAAACGTCCTGAAGATCAATACAGTTAACGTCCAACTAGCAGTGACCCAGATTTTCAGAGTTTTAATATGCTTCATCCCTATCACACTATTGCATTGCAACAAAGCTTCCTTCCAGACTCTGCTATAGTATCAAATGTATTAACTCAATAAAACGCCGATTCCAACGTGAAGATGCACTGCGCAGTTACAGTAGTCCCTTTATATTTTTAATATGCTTCACCACATTGCAGTCTCGTATTGCAGCAAAGCTGTCTTTAGGTCACCATTATGATCGTAAACTGATGGACTCTCAAAAGCACTGGTTCGAACCTATGTGGCATAGATAGGGGCTTTAATTGTAGCTATTTAGAACGAAAAGGTCCGAAAAAAATCACTTCAAAGTATTTGAAAAATAATGAAGTGATCGACAATTATTAAAAAAATATTCAACTCGCATTCAAACTCCAATTGTCGAATTTGCTTCGCAACCAAAATATTGCTACAGACTACCCCCTACATTCATCCCCCTACACCATCTACATGCACCCCCTACATTCATCCGCTGCAGTCCCGCTAACCGACACCTGGCGCCTGCTCATCTCTTCCGTTCTTTATTATTTTGCCGAACCCTTTCGACCAGCTCGGCCCGCTCCCTCCCCCCTTCTGTGCACGGCACGTCCCCCGCCTTATGTGTGCGTCACAGACGATGCGAGTGTAGAGACATCGCAGCTGATGAGCACACAGCGAGCGAAGGTCACAAAATTGCCAGCACCAACCAGTGGTCGCTTCCTGCAAATAAGAGAAAGCCCAACCCTGTGCACGCGATTTTCGAGTGACGACAACAGCTGTCACGTAAAGTCATTTGTCGCTATTGCGTCGCAGGTTTCTGGAAAACCAGAAAAAATTGCTTCTTGCCTGCAAAAGATCGTGACGATTTCTGCAACACGGTAGCACCCCCGATTCTCGCTTTGTTTGTGATTCGTGCGTACAAGAACTTCTCATGTGAAAGCAAGGCGGCGGTATTTTGTCGTTAGCCTTATTATCAACAGTTTGTTTTGATGCTTTGGGGTTTGTTTCCTGCAATGTTGGTTACTTGTTACAATGTTAACGGCGGCGTCACGGTCATTGTGCGAAGTTGCTGCCAAGTTGGCAAAGTGCGCCGTAGCGCTTCACCTTTGGGTGCCCCCTCGTGAGCACAGCATATACCACTATTGCAGTTAAACAACTGTGAGAAAAGATATCCACAAAATGCTTTTATGGCATGCATGGGTGGCTCGGGGACAGCTTGCATGAGATAGCGCCATCAACCACCCAAGATGAATAAAGTGAAACAAAGCAGCTGTTTCCAAACAGTGTACGCTTATGTCAATTGTGAAGGGCTAAGCGAAATAACCTTTTTTTTTTACATTACCGCATTTTTTGCTCCTCCAGAAAATGTTTTCATTAAATGTACCCCGCGTAATAAATGCACCCCCCAACTTTGCTCGAATTTTTCGAGAAAAAAAGTGCGTTCATTACACAAGTAAATACGGTTCATTGACTCTATGGGGAACTTGTTTTCGACGTGAGCAACCAACTGCCCCCTTGTACGAGTTTGTGTTGGCTGCCATGACCCTTGCAAAAACTCTCTCATAGCAGATCTTTTTGACATAAAGAGGGGGCATACTTACACGGGAGTACAAAGGCTGATGTCCTAGCCTTGGCAGTGCATTTCTGGGGGGGGGGGGGGGGGGGGGGGGTCCATATATTTACAACGCTTCAGCGGGGATTATTGCAGCACCCAAGAAACCTTTTCTAAAACAAATTTGTGAACAGCTTAGTTTGCATGAACATCTCTCTAGGTCCCTCCTCACTGTGCATGCTCAGAAACTGAAACTGCGACTGAGTGCTACAAAACTTCCAGATAATTAATTAACCCTCATGCACTCAAACAAACAAGCTCCCAGCCATAATAAGTGGGTCATTAGTTACCTTTTGCAAGAGAGAAAACATGATGAGAATTTTTGTCTCAGTTTGCCTTTAATGGTAACAAGAGATGTTCTGCATTGAGTTTAACGTTTGGGTGTAACCAAAGCCTGACTGTGCCGTTTCTTTTCTCGTCTAGGGTTACCATGGATGGGGGCCCCAGCTCACTCAGTGCTCAGTCTCCACTGAGCTCTACCAACTCTTCCCAAGACTCGCTCAACAAGGCGGCCAAGAAGAAAGGCATCAAGTCCTCACTTGGCCGTTTCTTCAGCAAAAAGGACAAAGTCAAAGGGAAGGACCCCTATGGACAGGAGTATGGCATGTCTGGTAAGCCAACCCTTAGCTAACCTTCAGTTCTGTGAATTGATGGGTCCCACTTTCTGACCAGCATTGTTTGAATTCCCCATTTGTGTGCCAGATGCTGTACAGTGTAGACCCCTTATAACGTAGGTGACCGGAATCGCGGATAACTGCACTATAAGCGGTACCGCACTATGACCGAAACAGTGATTTTTCAGGTCCTCTTATATGCAAAATATGTTGGCGCGCAGCCACGCGTATGCGCCGATCGTGCAACGCTGCGGGAGCTTTTGTAGTCCATTTATAAACATAAAGGGTTACCTGTTTGTGCACATCCCAGGCTCCGTCATTTTGAACGGCCTTCACGTGAAGCAGACAAAACTCGAAGAGGATTCACGAAACGTCTTTAATTACATTCTCTGCAGATGAAAAAATGCCGTTATTTTAGTTTGCCACTGCTTCTTGATGGCTCTAGCTATCACTTCGTCCTCAATAGCACGGACGAAAAAATGCCATTATTTTAGTTTGCCGCTGCTTCTTGATGTCTGTAGCTATCACTTCATCCTCAACAGCACATAGGCGTTGTAGAGCCTCGTTCGTTAACTTGTTTGCGGCGCAAAACCCTTTCAGCTTGTTCAGGTACTCTAGTGCCTCCTTGCACGACAGGTCTGGAATATTATCCTCGACAGGCGTGCAGCCTCATCATTGTCACCTTGGACCGCTGCGACGATTTTTCCATCGGTTGCAGCCTTTTCGCACACGTCCGCGTCGTCATCGATGTCGCCAAAAAAGTCTTCAAAAGTGTCGTTTTCTGACACAACGCGGTTACTGACCAAATGGGACCACATCTTGTCCGCACACACTGGTTCGTCATCATCAGCGGGCAAATCGGTAGAGTGATTGTGGGAGAAACCTGCTTGTTGAAATCATTTTTTTATTGTAGACGGCTGCACTTGCCAGCACGAGGCTGTTTCTTGCATATGCGCTTCTTGCATATGCGCTTCTTGTACAGAGTCTTCACAGTTGCTATGACACCGTGATCAAGCGGCTGGCTCTTCACGGTGGTGTTGGCAGGCAAAAACTTCATGTTTGCAGCAGTTAGCTTTGGGTGCACATTGTGAGTGGTGCAATTATCCAATATGATAACGACGCTGCGCTTTTGCGTCACCATCTCCTCGTCAAATTTTTGCAGCCATTCTCTGAACAAGTCTTGGGTCATCCAAACTTTGCCATTGGCTTTGTACGTCACAGGGAGGATGCTCCGCCTCCCTGAAGCAACGTGCCCACGCATACTTCCCAATGACAAGCAAGCGGCCCTTGTCCAACTCATCTAAGTTGGCACAGAACAAAACTGTCATGTGCTCCTTCTCTGCCTTACGTCCAATGCAGGGCTCCCCTCTCAATGAAAGTGTATGGCTTGGCAGTAAGTTGTAGAAAAGTCCGGCTTCGTCGACGTTGTAGATGCCGCGGTTCGCATGGGCCAGAAACATACTCTCGACATTCATGTTCAGCCACGTTTGAACTGCCGAGTCGTCAACTTCGCCACTTTCGCCAGAAATAACCTTACAACTTATTCCATGGCGATCCTTAAAATGTTTTGAGCTCGTACTTCTTTAAACCACCTGAATAAGGCAGGCGTCAACGTCCTCGTATACTTCGATGTGCACATTCTTTTTCTGGATGATGCAGCAGAATTCACGTCCAGCTGCTGTCGCACCTTTTTCCAAATAGCTGACACAGTGGTATCCGCGATACCATATTTTGCCGCCACAGCAGCTTTCTTGATGCCCTTTTCAACTTCCTTCACTATGGCGGCCTTCGTTTCCAGCGAAACGGCTTGCCGTTTCCTGATGCCTGCAGATGTGGATGAAGCCGACGAAGCCATCAAAAGGTTGTGGTCGTGAAGGAGGCCCAGCAACTGATCACAGACACGAGACAACGTAGCGAAGCAAGCGAGGCTTACGATGTGATTAAGCGTGCTGCCAACCGTCTGTTCGACCGGTTCGACAACACACGCCGTAGCGGCGGTGCTGCCATCTAACCTGAAACGCGACAAACACTACGAGGACACCGATTGGCAGAGAAAATTCCATGCGGTTTCGAATAGCCCAATAAGAGTGCTCTGTGCAAGCAGAGAGAGAGGTACGCGTGTGTCTTCGCTGCACTGACCGTATTATATTCGGTCCCGCTCTATAACCGGTTACGTTATAAGTGGTCTATACTGTATATGGCAGATTGGTTCAGTCACAACTTGCATGACCTTTTTTTTCCAGTTTTCTCTTATAAATAAAGCAGGTGCTAAATTAACACAAGGTGTGTGTCAGTGAGCAGTAGTTTATTCGCAGGATTGCTTGGCTGCTTCTTATGTGATTACTTGAGCAACATTAAAAACGTAACACTTACAGTTGCACCTGTTTATAAGACATATATACCAGGCAGCAATTTTTGTCTTTTATGTGAGGTGTCTCTTATGAGCAAGTTACTACGTACACATTTTCTTATCAACACCTATTTCATTGTAAGCTCACTGGGTCTCTTATGTGCATTTGTCTCTTACATGAATGTCTCTTATAAAAAGGGTTCGATCGTATAAATTAAACTTCTGCTAGCATGGTTGCATCAGCAACTGTGCTAACAGAACTTAAGAGCATCGAGCAACATCACAAGAATGATGTCTTTTGAGGAAAAACCAGCAAGGAAACATTTTCTCGCGACTGATGCCTGGGCTGTGACTGTGACGAGGCAGGTTCGACAACAACTGTGTGAATCAGGCCTTGGTGTCAGCTTGATTGCATGAAGTTGAATGAGCCACTGTGCCGGCCCTGACAAGCCTGCTTTTATCTGTGCGTGCAGGGGGCATGTACATGGACAGTGACATTTGTGGGAGTGACACGGGAACCCTCTCTATGGCGGGAGGCACATTGGGGCCAAAGACTGACGTGGATCGGCGTACAAAGAAGAAGTGGGTTTCTTTTTTATGCTATTGTTCACATCTTTCCCAGCAAGCTGGCTTATCGTTCATAGAATTGCAACTTTTTTTTGAAGGTGATGTGGCTCAGCCACAACACGACACATCGGTGAGCATAATTGTTAACACTGTGCTGTCACTTGTGGTCCCTGAGCAAGTACTCAACCTTACTTTGTTAGAGGATTTCTGAAGTCTGAAAATACACTAAATTAGGTGCAGCAGTTCAATTACTACACTTCCTGTGTCTTCGTTGGCACTCATTAAATAATAAATCTATCACAGTATTTTAGCGCACATTTGACTACACACCTCCTTTGCGTAAGAGTTACTATAACCGTAAAAGGGAGAGGCTGGATGACAGGAGACGTCTGGTGGTGCTAAGACGAACCGGGCAAGCATGGAATTGATTTTGCAGAAATCTAGTGTATTCTACTTCTCTACTGGTATAAATTCTTGGCGATGGAGTAATTTCGAATGTGTTGCCTTTCAAAACATTTTTTGGTCAAGGACACTAGGCAAAAACATGTCTATAAATCTGGTTGTCCGAAGAGTCGCCACATGTCGGTGCCATTGTCCGGTAAAATGATATGCAGGTTACCGCTCAACAGTCGACATCTCTGCATATGTTGCGATAGCCCTCTCTATAAAATTTCCTATTAGGGTATTTTAGTGAGTACTGAAGGCATCCAAATGGTTGCTTGTACGTGTGTGTGCATGCGCACTATGCAGTACTGCATGCATTACAGCTTTATGGGCCCATGTGGCCAAGTTCCTAGATGGCAACGGCAGTGTCCAGCTCGGCACCTAGGAACCGAAAGTTGTTCACTTAAATAATGCACTATTAAGTTATTTACTGAGGCTATATGAAACTTCGAGCATGTATCATGCTTCCTGGAGCAATAAAAAACATTAGAAACAGATAATTTAAAAGCAACGAACTTTACGGAATATGTTTGTACTTGAAACTTTGTCTTGCCTTTTGGCACAGCTGTATGATCATCACCTTGTTGAGAATGCATAAAAAGTAATATAATAAAAAGTATGCCATTTCTCGCGAAATGGAATCATGAGTAAATGCGTAACAGTGGGGACATAGTTAGTGGCACCCACAGAAGCTCGTCTACATCGCTTTAGGCAGGTGCACTAACATTCAGAACCTCTACTTGACTAACGTTGCTGGTAACCATTGCTTAATGCCAGTGACCGCTGCCGGGAATGCTGCTGGTTACCATGACTATAGCATTGCTAAACAGCCGGTCCCTCAACGCGCACGCCAGAGACATTGAATGTAATTTCGTGCTAACCAAGGCAGACGTCGTGCTCTGTCCCATATAAACGTGGGATTCTGCAAGACTGACGATCAACGGCTATGAAGTGATCGCTTGCATTAAGGAGGCGTTTTGTTGCTTTCGCCGCCAACTCGGGAGAGAGGTTGTAGCGTAGGAGAAGAGAGAGGGGAGATGCGGATGTGCAGTGGGGCCATATGGACGCTGTGGTAAGGAGGGAGGGACAGAGCCCCCGGAATAAGATGCATCACATCTAAAGAAATGCACAAACTTTATAGAAGGGTCATTTTTCAAAAAAAGAATATTCTAGGCTGGCTCTTGTGCCATAGTAACACAAATGAAACAAAACATCAAGGAAAGTGCGAGCAGTAACATATCAGCAGGATCCTACTATACGAATGGTCTGAAAGCTTTTATCCACAGAACAGTGTGTGTTTCGCATGAAATGGCCCAAGGACTTGAACTGTGCATGCCAGATTGTACATACATTCAGCATTTTCTAATATGCCGTTGTGCACAAACCTTTGCCACCAACTTTTCATGAACCTGAAGGACTTTCCTTTTTCTGTGAAATGTGGTTCTTCTGTGGCCACTATTGAGCACGTAGTCATCAGTAATACATTTCTAATGTGCGTGTTTCCCTTGCAGGCACGAGCTTTTGGCAGAGGCTATGAAAGCAGGCACCCCATTTGCGTTATGGAATGGGCCCACTATTGTTGCATGGCTTGAGGTGAGAGCTAACTTTTGGAACCGTTTATTTGCGAGATGAAGTGTCAAATGTACAGATGTAAAAATGTGTTGACGCTTTCGTTAGTGAATGGCAGTCAGCCAAAAGAGAGACTGGATTACATTATGTAATTTACTTGCCATGGTGTGCTTAGTTATTACAAGTTCTAATTGTATGTTGTGGCTAGGGAATCTGACATCGAAGCAATGCATATATTAATGCTCCGCCTGGAACACTGGCCTGTCTTTGTGACACCTATATTTGTAAGTGCCATATTGACGCCATCATAAAGTTAACATCCAAGTCACTTGCTCGTTGTGTTGGACAAAGCTTATGGGATCAACGATAGTTTAAACTGTTGATGCAGAGAGCTTCGCTATCTTTATTAAGATTTTCCACAGTACAGTAGGGGTGGGTGAGTATTATAAGTTTCGAATACTTTTTGAATAGCGTTTGCTATTCGATTCGATAAGCTCTGGAATTTTACTAGGGTTGTGCGAATATGCAAAAGTTTTGAATATTCGGCGAATATTGCATTCGTAATATTCGTATTCGATTTGATAACTACATATTTGAAAACTTTGAATATTCGAATTAACTCGAATATTCCTCAAATATTCGATGTTCACGAATATTCGTTCATAGGCTTTTGCGATTATACGAATGCTTCGAATATTCAAACGAATATTTGGGTATTCGAATTCAAATTATTGTAAATTTCGAAGTATTCACAAGGAACGAATAAATGCATACTAATCCGAATGTATCGCCTGTAAAGGTTGTTTCACTGCACTGTAGGGGTGTTGAACCGTGAAAGCATTTATCTAGAAGAAATCTGCTCTGCCATGAAGTTCCCCCTTCAAATTTAAAGGGACCCTGCAATTCTTTTTGAGCATTGTCAGAAAACGCTGCCGATCAGCAGTCGAGGCTACCAGAGACACGCAAGTAAAATGTTATAGTGCAGTGCGTGGTGTGCGGTTCACAACAAATTCTCAAAGTCAGCTAAAATTTGCTCTCTTCTGTCGGCAAATGACTCCACAAGCTCAGAAAGCACAAGTGACGTATTTTCTTTTCCCGTGCCATTCCTTCCTGCTTAGCTTCCAGTGCTTTCGTCAGGATGAGAAGAGAGAATTTCCTTGCACCGTGCAGAAATCTTTGCAACTTCCGCACGTACCGTCGGATTAGAAAAAAATTTGCAGCAGGTGAATTCATGAGGCAATAAATAAGCTCGAGTCTTCAGTGAATGCATTTCATGGCTACTTGAAAAAGTGTCACACGGCCCCTTTGAGTGAAAATATTATTCTTAAATCAATTCATTTTATTAAGCTTATAAGCTAGTTATGACGGCTTATATGCTCTAAGTATAATAAATCTTAAAATGTTACGTATTTTTAAGGGTTATGATTCGCATCTTGCTGAACGTAAAATCTTGCTACTACTCAAAGTTTTTTCGACTTTGAGTAGTAGTTCTGTGCAGGTTAGTTGAGTCATAATAAATACGCCCATTTTTCTTTATATACTATTCGAATTTGATAGGAAATTATTTGACCAAAATCACTATTCGCTTCAAACCTGAAATTCACTGTTCGCACAGGGCTACTCGCTCGCATATGCCACTGTGAAGAACTTACGATTTTCCGCATTTGCCATAAGAACCTCAATAGATCATGCAGTGATTACTATGACTTCGGCACAAGTGCGGTGATCATGCTGGCATGGAAATTTATGGGAGTGTGATCACGGCTACCAACGAATGCGGTGGCAAATCATTGTGACAAACCCACCAATGATAAATATCTCAATCAATCTAGAATTCATGTACTGCCTGCGCGGCAGTTCGTGTGGCTTAGTGGTTTAGCGCTGGTACGGTTCCCGTAAGCATACTGACCACGCCGTGCGCTGCGGTGCTGTTTTGCGCGGGACCGCAAGTGCGTATCGCTCGTGGAAACGAAGGCAACTCGCTGCTGCTGCATTGGCTTGACACAATAGTCTTCCCACTTTGCTTGGTCCCGTGCTGTGCGAGCATGAAGAAAAAAAACCTCTACGCAAGGACAAATGCACGTGTATACGTCACAGGGTGCGGAGCTGATGAAGTGAGCTTAGAAGGCGATGCACTGCATGCAATTAGCTAAGGGCACACTCAGTTTGACGTACGATGATAAGGAGTTTCATGTATAGCCACGTCAGTTTTCGCCAGTGGATCACCGTAGAAACATACGCGCACATGTTAAAGCCTGACGAGTTGTCTGTCAGTTGTGCTGCTACATCAGCATGATAGCGGATATCGTCATGCAAATGAGCTGAAGTCTTTTTCCGCACAATGGTAAACATAAAAAAGGCCATGCACTTTCGGTAATGTTACAATGCCGTCATCACATATAGTTTTTCATTGCTAATGGTGACAGCACGTAAGGTGACGGACGAATTACTGCGTAGTTCCGCTGCGTTCCCAAAAGCGCCTTTAAAAATCCATCGTACGCACATCGCGCTCGCACGGCAACATCTCCTGCAATCAACCCTTCGTTCTCACTCGTCATCATGGAAGTTAGGAAAGTTTTTCTTTTTGCTTTGTAATGAAGTCCTACCACATAAAAAAATATACAAAAGATTTGTTCAACACGTGGATTGAACCCGAGATATCAGTCACAAACTCAACTATTAAAGTCTTATGCTTTCTGGGATGTGCAGATGGTGACATTTAAAAAAATTGTGTGCAATAACTGACTACACTCAAACCTCGTTATAACAAAACTGGATGTAGCAAAATGTCCGTTATAATGAAATAAATGAAAAATAGTGTTGCAATAAATACAGTGTTAAAAATAAACCTTTATAATTAATTTTTGGATATAATGAACTTATTTTTATGTAAGATGCAAGTTTGTTATAATGAGGTTTGAGTGTATAATAACAATTGTATTGTTTCCAACATAAACATATGATTTGTGTAAAAGATTACTGGTGGAAAAAATTGCACCTCATTATTATTCGATATTCGATTCGTATTCGAAAATTTTGATACTCGCACACTCCTGACTTTTACTTTTTGATTTATTTGAACTTCCCATGGACAATTGCAGTCAACGTTGCAATTGAAGTGACCCGTTCAGGACCTTTAATAAAGTTCACCTCATCACATTCTTGTATTGCTGCAAAGCTGCCTTTTAAGCTCCGCTATGGTTTAATTTCTCGCAAATACAGTCATCCAATGAATCATTAATGCTGACAGTTAATTTTGTAGTTTGGAATTGCCTGCATTAATGGAATGTTAAAGCCTACTTTTACTTTGCAGCTATGGGTAGGCATGCCAGCGTGGTATGTGGCAGCGTGCCGTGCAAACGTGAAGAGCGGGGCCATCATGTCGGCGTTATCAGACACCGAGATTCAGCGGGAGATTGGCATCAGCAACCCTCTTCACCGGCTCAAGCTACGCCTCGCCATCCAAGAGATGGTCGCCCTTACGAGCCCCTCGGCGGCAAAGCCTGCTCGCACAGGTGAGTCTTGCACAGTAGCGATACCTCCTCTGCTGTTGGTCTTAGTCGTGCTGGATTTTCTCCACAAGCTCATCCTGGCCATCTCTCTCACTGTGTGCTTTCATGTCTGTTTGTGTTGTGTGCAGAGCCTGGCATTTGGAGAAATGAACCATGAGTGGATTGGCAACGAATGGCTGCCTAGCTTGGGGCTGCCCCAGTACCGGTCCACCTTTATGGAGTGCTTGGTGGACGCTCGCATGCTGAGCCACCTCTCCAAGAAAGATCTTCGGGTCCACCTAAAAATGGTCGACAACCTGCACAGGTGCGGCTGCGCAATAGTCTTCCAAACTTGTGGTCTTAAAAGTGAATGTGTTAGTTTATCCCCCTGCCTTCCCTCATTCAATTTGACGTTTTACTCAAATATTTACCCTCAAACCTCATTATAACAAAGTCATGTCTGCCACGAAAATACTTTGTTATATCCGAAAATTCTTTATATCTAAATTCGTTATATCGAGGTTTGAGTGTATGTCTAAAAATACAAATTCAACACATCTTACAACTCCAGTAGCATGCTAATTTGTTTACTGGCTCTTGCATGCTGTCCTAGTTTAGGGTATTCGCAATGGCCATGAGCCATAGGTGGCGCGCCGTGCAATCCAAGATGGCTGTGAGAGGATAATCAACCTGTGAACTCGCACAGAAAAAGACAGGACGCATGAACATAGTACACCCAAGCCGCTTTCACTGAATGAACTCTTGATCGTCGATTGAATGTCTATCAGACCAAAGTACTTTCCCTAATGATAGGAACTGCTAAATGAGCACTACCTCATTTTTTGCCACAGTGAGAAGGGTGATGGTGTCAGCTGATCGACCATGCATCAATGACGCTTTGCGTAATGCTGTACATGCTACAGAAAACTGCGCGAACTTGAAGTATGAACTGAACAGCACTCCGAGATAATTTGTGCCAAGCCTTCCTGACGGATTCGCCATAGTAGTGGGTTACTAGCGAGCAGCATGCCGCCGCGGCTGCACGGGATTGAATGCTTATTATAGCGATGGTTTGTAAACATACTACGCCATCGCCATTACTAGGTGCTTCTTCAACCGAACACAAGCATTTAACTTCCCATTAAGTGGCGCTTGTATCGCAGCCATGAACAGTGCACAATTCACTGCACTCGTATGTTGCAGGTTCTTTCTATCAGCACGATCGCAACAAGCATATTGAAACTAATACACGCATACGCTTTTTGCAACGTTGTAATTGTGAAAATTCGTCAAACAACAACGTCATTGGGTCGGTACCGGTGAAGTGCAAAAGTTAGCAGAGAGGCGCGAACTGTATTCATAACTGCACGTTTCATTGCTCTTACCATTTCGTTTCGCTGGTCGAGCTGTTGGCGACATGCCTTACTCCATAATATCCACTATAATTAGGCTACATGGAATGCACAAGAAAACTATGCTTTTACTTTAAGCTCACTGAAGGGGATTATACAATAAATACAATCAAAAGTGACTTACGAGCGTGAAAAAACATTAACACACGAGGAAACGGGAAGTGCAACTCCCTGCTTGTGAGCTAGCAGCTGATAGTTCATCGTCGCTGTCACTCTCAGTGCGTTCTACATCTAGTGAAAAATCCTCGACGTCGCGGACAGTTTCCATGAACACCACTGCCTAAAGTAATCTGAGGAATTCTCCCCGCCGAACGACTTCGATAACACCAGCAATGCGTCACTCACCACACACAACACCTCAACACTGCATCACCCACCATGTTTATCTAGGCGCGGAGAACAATTCACTCAGACACCCGGCAAGAAGCGAGTCGTTTGCAGTGTGCTGCCATCTATCAACGAACATAAAAATCAAGCAGCGCAGCATTGGCCAAGGTTTGTAAGAGCAAATCGCGAGGGTGAGCTACTTTCTGCGTACAATGAATGTTATGGGATTCATGCACTATGAAAGCACTGATGAATACTGTAAGCTTATAAAACAAAGTGAGTTACAACTGCAAAGGTCAGACAATAACATTTAGCTATCCTACGTGGCTGCAGAAAATCTCACGAAGCTGACATGTGTACTGAACGGGCTATAATCGAATATGCGAGGTGTCAAGTATTTTCTCAAAAACTTCGCGTCTCACAAGAACGAGCCAGATTTATCGCGTCCAGGACGATCTGGTATATTCACTGATGCATGAAACATACAAAGTGGTTTGTGTTCGGTTCTTGCAAACGCATTAATACTGAGGCTAACACAGTCAAACAAGGGAGCGTCTGCCTACTGATAATCCTCAAGAGGACGCTCCTGAATTTCGCTAGGCAGCACGACAGTCTATGAACGTTGCAGATACCTACACTCAAACCTCATTATAACAAACTTGCATCTTATATGAAAATAAGTTTATGTCCAAAAATTTGTTATAAAGGTTTATTTTTGACACTACAGTTATTGCAACAATATTTTTTATTCATTTCGTTTTAACCGATATTTCGTTATATCCAGTGTTATATTTGGTTTCGTTATAACGAGGTTTCAGTGTATATTTCGTTGTGATTATGGTTGGGGGAGTGTTTTGCATTCATTCATGGTGCGTTCACCTGTAATACATTGTTGCAAAAGTGGGAAATGGAACCTTCAGTGCAAGCCCTTTACGCTGGGTTGCGCTGTTCTTTTTCTTATACGCCCCTGCATTAAGTTTTGCTTTGTTTCTTTTTTTACTATCTTATATTTGTAATAATTCATGAAAACATCGTTCAGCCTGCCACCTTTTGAGCTGGTTCTGTTCTTTTAGTGCATGAAATTTGACAGGCCTGGTTGCCGCTTTCGGAGTCTTCAGTCTAGCCCAAATAACATGATCTGGGGCCCACAACAGACAAGTGGCACACATCTTGTGACAAAGTTGATGACTGCAAGTTTGAGCCGATTTCATTCTTTGTTTGCTATTACAGCAACATTGATAAGTTGTTGAATAAAGGATGTCACTAAAGCCAACATTTCCACTAGTTGTTTTCTCAACATTTTGGTGCCACTTACGTTCTCTGCTTAGCAAATTTTCATACCTTCAAGGAGCCTTCTCTCCCTGAGCTTCTGTCCTTTCTATAGAATGAAAAGAGTGAATTAAAAAAAATGGTTCTGGCTTTGTTCATTGTGTTGCCAAACACTTGTGGAGTGGACTGTCTTACGAAATCACTCAGGATCGTCTAGCTTTTACTTTGTCTCTCGACCCTTTGCTGTTTGCAGAACAAGCCTCCAGTGTGGCGTGAGCTGCCTCAAGCGAGTCAACTATGACAAACAAGAGCTGGCAGAAAGGAGAAAAAACAGTGAGAATGAAACAAAAGGTGAGTCTCCCTTCTGCACTTCGCAGCTTAGCCAATTACATTGCCAGGAATCCTTCTTTGGCTAATGTCCTTGAAGATGTGATAAAGGGGTGAATGATTGCCCCGGTAATATAAATGTCATGCTTGTAAATAGAAAGCTGTCGTGCCTGTTCGTGGAGTTGCATATTTGATGTCTTAAAATAGGTGCAGTTAAAGAACACACTGTTGGCAAACGAATTGTCTGTTGACAGTGTATGTACTAACTGCTCGTTATAATCTTGTCTGGCACGGCTTCGTCGAGGTTTTTAGAATTACAGCCGTGTAACTGCGACTGGGTGTGCATGATATCGTGCGCAATTTTCCATTAGCTTTTCTTTTTTCGGTTTTTAAACCCAAAAAGCTTGGGAACAATAGAGAAGCTAACTGGTAATACAAGAGTAACTTCGGCTGCTACTTTTCCTAAATTTGTGTTCTTGTGTATTGTGTTTCGATATCAACCAGCTCAAATCTGTATTTTGTTGTATTTTGTGGTCTCCAGATGTGGTGGTGTGGTCCAATGAGCGGGTGATCAAGTGGGTGAACACCATAGGGCTGCGCGAGTACTCCAACAATCTTCTGGAGTCCGGGGTGCACGGAGGGCTTGTTGCCCTTGACGACACCTTCGACCACTCCGCATTGGCCCTGGCCCTGCAGATACCCACACAAAACATTCAGGTGAGAGCTGTGGCAAAATGACTTACACTGAAATACACTTGAACCTGAATGTAACAAGCAATGTAGAGAAGTAAACTTTAGATACTCTATCGCCATTATCAACGTGTAACAAGAACAGAGGACTTTAAGTAACATGATCTTAGCGAGACTTACAGAATCGACTTAGTTATGCGACCAATCTAATTTATAAAGAGAGGCAGAAAAACTGCATTTCAGCGCGCCAGTGCTTTATTTAAAAGTAGTTATTTGATCTAAGCACCACACACTTATGTCTAATGCACACCCAACTTTCATGTGCAACTTCACATGCACCTGACTTAAGGGGGGACGCGGCACTTCGGGACCGAAAATCAGCCAAAAAATCGAGTTTTCGCGGACCTTCTTTTCGCGTTCCCGACATCATTGCGCACCTATTTACAAAATTTCATAGCCGAATACCATCAACTTTTATCGTTATTCAACTTTAAAAAACCGAAAACGGGCGTCCTGCCCTTTAAATTGAGGGCGAATAGCGCAGGTTTCGGCTCTACGATACGCGGGAACTACGCGCTCGATCGGCGCCATTTTGGTCTTGTTTGAAAGAACGCGTTTTCAGCTGTTTTTTTTTATTCAGTAAGCAACATTGAGCGTTTCCCCGGCTCGAAAAACGGGGCCTCAAAGACGAAGAGCCGCGCTCACTGCCATTGGCTAAACGGCGCACGTGACTGAAATGGCGCTTTCCGGTTGGCTGGAAGCTCGCGGCTTGCGCCTGCATACGCGACCCGACGCCATTTTGAAAGGGTTACCGCTGTGACGCCTCGAAATCGGCAGAGCACTCTGAAGCTCCTGATCGTATCGCCATGCCTGGAAATGCAAAAAAGTATCGGACCGTGCACGCATTTGGTCGCAGGAAACGCAAAGGTCGTGGGAGAGAGTCTACGAAGTCATCAGAGCCCTTGGTTGACTCCGACGAACGATGTGTCGACGCTCCGCGGCCGTTCAGCGATGGTGCGACCGAGCGCGTTGCCTCCGACGACGATGACGGTGAAGCGAACTCCGGACGACTACGAATCGACGCCAAGGTGGTGACAAACGCCGAAGTTGAAGAAAATCATGCCCGGGAGAAAGCGACGCTCGACCGGCTTTCATCGGCGCCAGCAACTGCACGGAAAATTGACTTTTTCACCGCGAGTTGTAGCGAGGCAACCGCACAGGACTCGGACCACGCTGCTCCTTATCTGCTTATGCATCTAGATATCTTAAACGCGATAATGGGTGCCTTGTGTTGCAAAGCCTGCCACGGACCGGCTACGATCGTCAGAGGGGATCGGGACTACGGACTTGCCGTAAAAGTGCTAGTGCAGTGTGAAAGGTGCGGCGAGATCGCGAATGAATGGACTTCGCCCCGCGCGAACGGCACGAAAACGTGCAATCCGTTTGAAGTAAATCTTCTCGCTTCGAGGGCGATGGTGGCTACCGGCAATGGCCAAACGAAAATGAACGATATTTTCGCAACAATGGGCATCTCACACCGCGGTATGCACCACAAGACGTTTCAGCGGCATTTGAAAAACACGCTGGCACCCGCTGCATCGCGAGCGGCTGAGTCCGCTATGAGCGAATGTGCGGAAAAGGTTAGAACAATTTATGATGACTTGTGCTTCGGCCACCGGGGCAATATTGCCGTTAGCTACGACGGCACATGGAAGACGCGAGGCCATTCTTCCCACATCGGCGTGGGCACAGTTATCGAATTATTTAGTGGCTACGTGTTGGACTACGTCGTTCTTTCCAACTTTTGCCTAGGCTGTGAGGTGGGCCCAAAGCCTAGTAGTGAGGGCTATCAAGAATGGAAGGCTAACCACAAATGTCAAAAAAATACGAACAGCAAAGCGGGGCAAATGGAAGTGGAGGCGGCTCTAATTCTATTTCAGAGGTCGCTTGAACGCCATGGCCTGCGCTACACAACTATGCTGTCTGATGGAGACTCTAGGACATTTTGCGCCATACAAGACGCCAAGGTGTATGGTTACATTGACGTGCAGAAGGAAGGCTGTATTAATCATGTACAGAAACGGATGGGCACCGCATTGAGAAACCTGGTGCAGAAACAAAAGTGCGATGGGAAAAGAGGCCTTGGTGGGAAAGGCAGGCTCACAGGTGAGCTGATCACCAGGCTGAGCACATATTATGGCCGGGCTCTGAAATCGCATGAAGGTGACGTGGGCGAGATGCAAAAGGCTGTGATGGCCACATACCGCCACGTCACCTCCACTGGTGAATGCTCGGACCACAGTCTGTGCCCAGCTGGTGAAACTTCATGATGTCGGCACAATGCCGCAAAAGCAAAGGGTGAGCCCGACCCCAGGCATGCCTACAATCTACCGAAAGACGTGGCAGAGGCATTACTACCGGTTTATACCCGGCTTTCGGAAAGAGCCCTGCTTCAGAGGTGCGAACGCGGCAAAACGCAGAACTCCAACAAGAGCCTACATTCGGTAATCTGGAGTTTGGCCCCCAAGGAGCACCATGCGTCCCTGTTCACTGTTGAAGCAGCTGTTGCAGAAGCAGTGCTGCGCTTCAACACGGGCAATTTGAATACTGCAATGGCAATCTTAGGTGAAATGGACATGAATGCGACAAGTACTGGTGCCAGGAGAGCGAGAGAAAAAGACCACCGTCGCAGCATTGTCTCCAACAAGAAAAGAACAGCCTCATTGGAACTCCGGAAGCTAGTGAAGAGGAGGCATGAGCACAGAATGCATTCAGACTATGCTTCTGGTGCGTTTTGAGGTTGTCTTGTTGCATCTTCTGCAATTAAAATGTGTGCCCACGTTTTTTCTCGATTTCTCAAAACGACAATTTTCATGTGCTTCCCATTATGCCGGAGCAATATCTCTTGTTCTATCTGGGTTATCATTACGATTTCTTTTTCGTTTCGAAGATAAATGCAGGGGATGTGTCGTAAAGTAAGTTTTATTGTAATAATTTTTGGAGAAAATTCTCTAAATGGATCTTTTGTTTCAAGTGTAGATGGGGAAATTTTTCATGTCATATTCAACATCCCACAACTTTGCTTCGAAATAGCCCAGAACAATGATTTATACTTTATTGCACACTGTGAACATACCGAATTGGTTCTATAGATTGCACATCAATATCCAAGTTACAGTTAATTAGCTAATTAGGCCTTAATCGAAAAGGTCGCAGTTCATTATATCTTTAAAACTAATTGTCACAGCAAAAAAAAGAAATAGATTTTTGAAATCAGCAGTAAAATCTACATAGGCTCTCCAAATTTGACTGAGGTACTCGCAAAAATAAAAGAGTTTTTGGAAGGTGTAGCATCCCCCCTTAAAGTAGCAGATTTGTGATTGTGGGGTTCCAATGTTTTGTTGATGAAATACAGAAGTTTTTGTAACTCAATCCTGAAAGCAGTGCGCTTGTCGTCATCTTGCATGCAAAAGCTTCTTTCGCCACCAGTTACAAGTGCCACTGGCAGCATGTGACTATTGCTAATGCCATAAAATCATTGATGTATGCTTTACATGGAATTAAGTGAGTGGTTAAATAGTTGACTGTGAGCTGTTATTTTTGCTGAAATTTGCCACGAAGACTATTGCTGCAGCTTTTGCAGTTATGGTAGGAAGATCCAGGGGGGTTACTATAGAAGTAGGGTGCGCACGTGCACAGTCTAGTGGTGTTCAAATCTATGTTCTACCTTCCAAATGGAAGTGTACCAACACGTGTCTTAATAATGAATGAAGGGGTATTGAGGGACATTGAAATAATTTAAATTAAATTGGATTAATTTCATGCAGTTTTAATGGAAGCCTGCATTCACACACTTCTAACCGATACTATAAAGTCTGTGTTAATTCTTCAATTATTTATTTCAAGGACATGACCTCTTTCTCAAGATTTTGGAGGCATGAACACCTTTCTAGCAGTATGATAAGGCAGTGTGCTTGCTACTGTGCAAAGATTTCCATTGCTCCTAATTGTTGGAATTTTAACTAAGCACAGCTAAAGTTGTGACTGGCTTTACAGTTCTGCTGTCAACATTGTGGTTCACTTCATCTATTGCTGTACATTCATATTACTTCATTCGGTCGCCTGCAACTTTTTCAGGCACGGCAGCTACTTGAGCACGAATTTAGTAGCCTCCTTATCATGGGGACTGAAAGGAGACCAGATGACGTAAGTGTGCCTCCTTTCTTCATAATTCGATGTTTACCATATTTTTGGCTTTTGAAGGTTGTCTTCCTAACACGGATATTGTTGTGTAAAAATAAAAAAAGGGTGCTTCTTCGGAATTGTAGAAATCATTTTTATTTTCCTGAGGCAGCGTAAGCAGGCAACCACGAAGAGAGGACACAAAAACCCCAATACTATGCAAGCTGTTTCTCATGCTGTTTTAAGGAAATCACTTCGTACCGATTTGATCAGTTGAATGCAGTGGAACTTCGATTGTACGTCCTCTGCTTTTGTGATGACCCGCATTTTATGACGAGTCAGTTTGGCCCCAGAAAAATCTCCATAAAACAGGGTTCGTAGCAGTTCTTGAAACCCTTGAAAATCCTTGAATTTCGAAATGGCATTTTTAAGGCCTTGAAAACCCTTAAATTTGTCTGAGGTCCTTAAATGTCCTTGAATTTTGTCTATGGAAGTTCTTTAAGCCATAGTTTAGTGGATTTGTTTTAGTTAGCTTGGCAAATATGTGCTCTAAAGCCAACAAACCATCCAGTCGAATTCGTATCTCTAGCCATAGTGAAGTGTTGTACAGTGTGCTCTTCTAGTACACTGTAGTTGCGGTAGCATTTGTGTGGGTACAGCAGCAGCGAAACAAAGCCTGGATTTTTCGTGGAGACTGTGCAAGTGTGTGCGGGTATCTGCAGTCTCATCACTTATAATGGAACTATGCCGAGCAAGTCCAAATTCCAGCCGCCTTGATCTTGCATTGCTGCTTATTAGGAGTGGATTGCACCGGATATGTTATCATCAGGCAATGTCTTCCCATGTAGGAAGAGCTTCGACGTGTCATTAATGGGGGAGTCTACTCTCAAAAGTCACATGAAGAGTGCAAAACACATTGAGAGCACAATAGCGACCGCAGTTCATTGTAACTTGAGTGCGTTTATGGTGCCCACCATACATATAAAACAAAGTACAAATTTTTTCTGTAAAAAGTGGTGTTGTCATTTTCTTCAGTTTCAAGTGTCATTTCAAGTTCTTGAAAAGTATTTGTTGGGTCCTTAATAGTCCAGAAAAACCCTTGAAGTTTGTTTCACTTAGGGGCAATGAACTTTGTAGAAGTAATGTATTAAAAACCTTAGTAATGCGACGAAGTTTTATGCCAACCCCCTAACTTACGACAACTTTCAGATTCCATTTGAAAGAAAAAACGAGGTTTCACCGTGGAATTCGGGAGAACTTCATTAATTAGCAGTTGTTACAAGAGGCCACTTTTTCGAAATCTCAAAGCGGCTATCGGTTCATCACATAAAGGACTTTGATTCTCCCATTTGACTTGACTGCCTAACTTACTAATTAAAAGGTCAATTAATTAAACTTTCCTAATTACTATTTCAAATAGTGCCTCGAACCTTCTTAAGATGCCTGCCACTACAGAAAAAGCAACTGAGAAGACAGCAAGCAAATAGCCCCTTTTGTTGATTTTTAAAGAACATTGGACACATTTTTTGAAGCACCCTGTATGCGGCTATCACAGCAGCGGTAGATTAAAGGCAATAAAGTTGTGTAAAGACCCAAACTGTTTAAGAATTCCTGTTGTTCTTCACTTACAGCTATGGTGGAGCAAACTTTGGTATTAGTCTTCAGTTGGCCTCGTAGAAAGCTTTGAGACTCATTTGTGGCAGCGAGCTGCGCCATTCCTTCTCAGAAAGACATATGCTAGTTATTTCAACGAAAATAAAATGTTTTGTGCTTGTACAGTGTACTCTAAGTAAACAGAAATCTCTTAAATGGAACTGCTGCTTAAATGGAACAACTGCCTCTGATATGATTGGTTTAATCCCTGCATACTGCATCCCCAGTTCACCGCTCAATAAATGGAACTCCTGTTAAACGAAACATTTTCCCAGTCCCTTTATGTTCTGTTTAATGAGAGTCCACTGTACACTAGACTCTCAGTAAACGGAATCTGTTAAACGGAACTACTGCTTGAACGGAACAAATGCCTCTGCTATGTTTGGTTTTGGGCTTGTATTCTGCACCCTTGTTTATCTCTCAGTAAACGAAGCTCCTGTTAAATGGAACATATTTTCCCGGACCCTTCAGGTTTCATTTACTGAGAGTCTACTTTATTATGGTTTGAAAACGGATTTTGTTACTTTTTAGGTCACATGAAGTTTTTGGGGATGTGAATAGTTTTGCTCCTCCTTGAGATTTGTATCACTGAGATACTGCAGTAATGTGATGTTTGACCAGCCAACTCATCTCTTTATTTTTGAGAGCTACAACCATGTCACCTGCTGTGGCACTTTAATGTTTTTTGTGTTGAACTGTTGAGCATTAGGTCATGAGCTCAGTGCCCCGTCAAGACTGATTGATTTGATTGATATGTGAGGTTTAATGTCCCAAAACCACCATATCATAATGAGAGGCATCATAGTGGAGGGCTCTGGAAATTTCGACCCCCTGGGGCTCTTTAACGAGCACCCAAATCTGAGCACACTGGCCTACAGCTTTTTCCTCTTCAAGGCTGTCTCATTCCAGTAGAGTTAGAATGTAGATTAAGCTATGCTTTTAGGGCACAGTACTAGGCTCCACTATTGTTAATAATTGAGAGGTCCCTTGTGAGACATCCTTCATAGCTCTCTGCAGCTTTGGGACATCAAGGGTGGCAATTTTACTGCTGCAGTTGCTTGATATGCTTCGTTTTTCGCATTGTGTGCTCATCGACTTTCTTATAAATTATGATACAGGGGCCCAAACACATGGGTGCTGCGCTACCAGGTCTTCAGGGAGACCGGCTTGTATGATGGATTCTCCGTGACGGGAAGAACAGAGCTTTTTTTTTCCTTCAATCCGAAACCTTCAAGGAAGAAAAAGTCGTCCTGGCAACTCGGCAGGACTACTTTTGCGTGGCTCGTTTCGCATCATCGCTGAAAGGGTGTGGACTGTTTTCAGTGGTGACGACATTGATGGCGGTGTTTTCCAGTGCTTGTCTGCAAGGAGTGATGGCACACTGCTGTTCTACACCTTGCTTTTTTTCCCTACCATGGCATTTTTGGTTCACATTGTCACTTTGCAGACATTGGAAAAGCGAAAAATATGCACTGGCTCTTACTTTTAACTAAGTTGTCTGTCAGCAAAAAAAAAAAAAAAAAAAAACTTTTTTGGCAACTGCGCTGTAGTCAGCAGTGCAACTCAACGACCAAAAAAAAAAGTCCCAGGTGCACCAATTCCAAAAGACATTGCACACCACTGCTTTGTCAGGCAGTTTGCTTGGCAGCATGCTGAAAGAGATGAAGTTTCCAGGGTTGTAGATTTTGTTTTTGTATATGGTGCCCTAGATGCATACTCTAAATTTTTTTGCTGTCTATACATGTAGATCTGTTTTAGAACATTGTGCAGTAAATGCAAGACGAGCTGTGCACTATTTCAATGTTAGGCAGCAAAATCAGCTTTTAGTAGCTCGAAAGCATTCTGAAGGCTGCAGTACTTCCAAGAATATAAATGTTTTTTTCTTATTTCTAATATATTGCTCGAACAACTTGTGAAGTGTTTCTGTCTCCATCTTTGAGGACTGTTTTTAAAACACTATTAGATTCATGTCGCTCACTTGTGGCATAAGTTCTTCGAGTAGAAGTAATGCACAATTAAGCTTAACTTTGCTTTGTGGGAAAGGCAGAGTAAGGCATTGTAGTTCTCATTGCTTCTTAGTTTTGGTTTTATCACTCAATGACGACGGGTAAGAGGAGTCTTGTCTGGAGGGCTGAATGACACTGTGTAAACTCGAACACTGAAGCAGTTGATTGAATCACGTCAGTACACTGTCACTTTCTGCATCTTGCCAGCGCTTACAGGTGGAGTAAGGAAAGCTTACCTATTTAGGGCAAGCCCAGGGAGCTTCTTTTTTTTTACTTCATTGTTTTTGGTACGCTCCCATGTATGCAGGCCTTTTGCATGTATGATGTTATTGACTGTGATCAAGTAAAGGTTTCCAGGAACACTGTTGAAGTTGTGACAGGGCATGATTTTCCTGTTTGGCATAGAAACAGCACATTCGGCAAAACCCAGGGCACTTTGAACACTCTTGAACTTTGTGACAGACATCCGGAAACGAGTATCACAGCAGAAACTCTCTCTAACACACGTGCTCTTGGTAAATGTGTTGTAAAATTCTTGGGAACTTGGTGCCGCCTACTTCGCACTTTTCACGTGGCACGCTGTATTGGGGAAGTTGCACTGAGCTGTTTCACTTGTGCAGGTGCAGATAAACAAGCATGACTTTAGTATAAACGTCCCTAACAGACTCACTGTCAGCCAATGTTTTGCGTCTAATGCAATGAGCAGGAACGCATAGGTGTATCTGAATGCATTCCAGTTGCTTGAAGAGAGTGCATCGTCCGGGTATGACAGACTGCCATGCAGCTTTAGCAGCCCTTGAAGGATGAAACTAGCTGGATCCAAGACCAAATTTTAACTAATGTTTCTCTTCTTCAATCTTTTGGCCTCAATGCCATTCCACTTTTGATCGAGCTTTGCACAATGTGGAGCTGTGTGCTATGTGAATTCCTTCGGCTAATAAGGCCTCTGTTGCTGCTTTGAGCTTACAGTAGCTTTGTGCCTGTGTTGCTCATTATGAAAAAAAAAAAAAAAAAAAACGGAAACAGATAGCTAATGGGAAACTTATTGTATTGTATGAGTCACTTAACTGCCATCTGACACCATTATTCGTTTTTATTTTTGAGGTGCACAAAAGAAGCCATTGAATGGCAACATTTTAAAACAACATTCTAACGAAAGTAGCCTCATCAATGACATCTCACAGTGATCTTTTTATTTAAAGAAAAGTTTAGCTTCTTTAAGCTACATTACTAACCTGCGTTGTCGGATGTCAGCACGGCGTAACGCATTTTTCGAGGATGCTTGCTCGTGCTGACATGAAAACATTGGCACTGTTAGGTTGAGGCGAGATTGATGGGTCAGAAATTTTTTCCTTCCCGTCAGGTGGTCACATTCTCACATATTGAAATGTGTGTTTGAGAAGCAGCTTTCATCTACAGTATCTAATCTTTATTTGTACAGTTTTTTTCTTCTTTTTAGTGTTTATATATTTGCAGCAAATTGCGCTTTTGTTGTTGAGTGGTTTCCAATGAGTTGCCAAGGCCAGGCCTGGTTTACAATGATCTTTATCACTCAAGTCATAGTTAGCCCACGTTTTTATTTGCGAGCGTGTTCGCGCATAATAGTGTAATATATAATGCACAGCACCTGAAGCACATTTTGTTTTTAGTTTGCTTTCATGCCCATGCTATGCTGCGACTTTTTCTGGACAGTGTTTTTCATGCAACTGGGAAGACTAGTCAGAAAGCACACTTGTTGTTTATGTGATTCTGGTGTTGCATTCAGCCAGCATTTCTCCTTCCTTTTTTTTTTTCTTATTTGCAATTGCACTGGCAGCTTGCATGTCAGAATGACATGCAAATGGTCTTTTTCTCTCCTCCTATTTTATAATGTTCTAGGTGAGTCATGTAGCATATTAGAAATATTAAATTAGTTTTTATATTATGCATAGCACTTGATGCGATCAACTTGCTGAAGGCAAGCGTGCGTGTCATATTCATCTGATGCGACCACAGCACTGATGAGAATGGGGTTATTTAAGTATTTTGACAAAACCTGCATCGCGGAGTTCTTATTCTCGAATGTTGTGTACGATATACTTGTGCCAGATATTACGGGCGCTGTCATTTGAGACTACTGATCACTTGCTCGGCGTACCGAGGTTTAATGAGTGTACTGAGGTGTACCAAGTGTATCGAGGTGTAATGAGGGTATTCAATCCGCCGAGGTGTACTGAGTGAGGCTGCTCCCCCAGAACCATTTGTGTCAAGTGTTCGTTTCGAGGTTGCTACATTCATTGACCTTGGCTTTGTGTCATTGCCATTCATGAAGGGTGTTTCAGTTAGCTGCTGTTCTTATGCCATTTAGGGGCATGTAGGACATGCAGAATGTATGCCTGTATTAAAAGGAACGTCACTGTTAGACGTTATGTTTTAGGCTTTTTTTTTTACTTTCGTTTTGTTTCCTTAAATCCGGAATAACTACGATGCACGCAGTCAGTTCAGATTTACAGAATTTGTAAGGGAAAAAGAAAAGAAACAAAATATTGCATAATGTATTACGGAGTTCTAAAATGCAGCAGCTCGAAGGTGAGATGACTGACTGCATGACCTACACATATTTTGGAGCTAAGAATCGGTGTTGGTGCATTTTCATCCTTCCTTCCTCCTTCTTCATTTGTTTCACTCGTTAATGCTATGTTAATGTGTTTCTGGGTTGTCACATATCCAGCATTTGGGGAAACATCACAGGAGGTAATGAGCACTGTGTTCGGTATGATCTATTTTATGTGCAATTCAGGGCTTCTGTGCTTACCAAAGAAACCAGAGCAGTTTCCAGTACTCCTTGCAATGAGCTACGAAGTCTGGAGAAGGCACAAGCGCTTCGTGCAAGGCTTTCAGTGTGTCGATGCTGTACAGAAGTGGGTTCAGTGCTGATGTTATATAATATGAGAGCAATATCTTATGGAAGGATAAACTAAGTGACAAATCGTAGGAGCTGTAAAGACACCCGTTTTTGTTTGCATTCTTGTTATTTACTGCTAATTTTAGAATGGAAGCTATGGGACATCTCTGACATGTGGCACATCTATGGTATGTTATGAATGAATGAGAATACTGGTCTGAAATGCAGTGTTGAGTTTTGTACAGGAGCAACTATGACATGCTTGGGAGCGTTTGAGTGTTGTCCCGGCCAATGGGACAAGAAACAATGAGTCAGTCAAACAGTCGCGTAGCTCATGAGTGTTGCATATCATGCATAGACAAGGCTCGTGCTTATGTTCCCCCTCTTATAATTGTTTGATTCTTCCTCCTTTCGAGCCCATCTTTCCATCACAACCTAGCAATCTGTTGTGCACGAGCGATGTCTGTGTGCAAAGGTCGTGTATACTATACGTCGGCTTTTACGCAGACTGTGGGCTGCCCACCATTTATGTTTTTCTTCGTGTTACCTGTTTCGTTGTTATGCTGCTTGATTTGCACTTGGAAATGTAGGCTGTGCTACACTTATTACATTGCTGGCTCTGGCTGTCTGATTTATTTGTGCTTGTTTGCAAGGTTTTATTATTTGTTTGGCACATACTTTTCAATTGTGCTACTAAAATGAAACACTCTTAAAAGAATGTGAGTGTGGCAGTGGTGGTACTCAGTTTAACACTTATAGTGTACAAAACAACAAGACACCATACATAGTATGACATGGATACAACGCTTTGTTCGTGTCTTACTGTTGTGTCATGTTCCTTTTGTGCAAATGGGGTTGGGGCACAACTCATATGAGTGGAGGGCACTTCCAGCGCCTTCTCATTCACATACACTGTGTCTGCGCCTAGAGAGCTTAGTTTAATTGACAGCACTTCTGTAAATCAAATGCCCTTATTCATTGGCCTGCATGTGCTGTGTACGAAGCCCGAAATTTCATATTCACTGAGAGGCATCATAAAGGCCTTAAACAGCCAAGACATAGCTTTGTCTTTGAAGTCTCAGTTTAAAAGTAGATCTGAGCAATTTTTGCTGTGTTCATTTGACGATTGAGCGTTTACTCTTGGTAAGGTGGCATGCTGTAAATTATAGCCTATAAACTTTCTACATTTCATTACACTAGAGAGATGTGTAGTGTTCATAAAGATCACCTCTAGGCCAGCTTTTATGATCATCAAAAACACTGAATCCAATGGAACTACACATATATTTGTCTTTGTTTTGTTCACAAATACGGGTGAGCTCACAGTCACAGTTTCAAAGGTGGTCTTGTTTATTTCTTGTGCGACGTGTTGAATTACACATGGCCTGTCTGTTTCAACTATGTTCCGTCATTGTGAATCACACCAAAAAAAGTCACGTGCCTTCACCAGTGTATCAGTACACCTTGGGACTTGAGAGTTGTGCTTTTTGACAATTGAGGGTTAGTTCTCTTCATTGTGTGAAATTATCATTTATTTCTTTGAGCACAGAATTTGGCAACCTCCCGTATACCTCCTCTTCTCAGTCCTGGCCTGATTTGTCACACAAATACATTGTTTTCGGAGCACAAGCATAGGTGTAGTTTTGTGTGCGTGTCGTGTGCATGTTTATAGAACCTCGGGACGCATCAGTACTACCCAGTGGAACATAGCTGTACATACTGGTGTATATTTAATGTTCATGTCAGTGCAAGCCATCTATTTTATGCATGTCTGTTTATTTACCCCGCATAGCTGGTCTTGCCTTTCTTTTGTTTGTCTGCAGTTTCCCCACTTGTTTCTCTATTCTGTGGACATTCACAAGCGCTGAGTTAATGACTGCTGCCCCTGGGTGTAAGTATGTGGTGCAGAGCACCATGCGAAATCCCAGAAGTGCACTGTACATTTTTCCAGAGGCTATGTAATAGGACTGCTGTCACGTACAAAATGAAAAGTATTATACCTATACATGTTGCATTTATGTGCCAGCCAATTCCGTAGGATGCGCATGTCTTCTGTAATGTATAAGCAAGGACCTTGAGTGATGAGTGGCAGCGTTGCGATGTACCAAAGCGCACATGACTGAGCTCCTGTGTGAATCTTGAGAGACCTTTTGCTCTCAACAAGTCATAATTTCTTTTGTAAATAAAATTAACATCCAAGGAAACATGAAGTGTCTTCTGGTCATATTTATGCATGGCGCTGACTGCACTTTGCAATAGAAATTGTTGGTGCTAAGAGAGAGGGAGCATTACAGAGCGGGGGAAGTTTGTAGTAAGTATGGTAATGAAGCTAATTTATTCATCAGCCAACCTTTAACGAAAAGAAGTGTGCTTGCAGCAGTTGCCCAATGAGTGTTTAGAAAAGGCTCTGAAAGGCCGCTCTTCCAGCTTTTGCTGGGACTGCTGCGCCTCCCGCGCAGACCTGGCGTTTTTTTTTTTTTTTCTTGACGTTTGCTTGCTGTGCGCACTATGCTGGATCTCAAACGTCCAGCATGGCTTCCACAGAGGCCACAGAACGAAAGAGTGATGCCGCAAAATCAATTTCTTTTATATTTTTCTTCCGAGGTCTGGCGAGAGAGTAAGGCGCGGCTCCTCCTCGCCGCAATAAGCACTGAGAAGGCGGAAAAGAGTTTGCCAACGCAATTGAATGTCACAGAACTGTCTTCCTGAGAGTGTTTGCTGTACAGATAAGCTCTCTTCTGTACAGACACACCTGAAAAGTTATTTTCCATTCCCACGGCCTCGCATGTCGCGTTCGGTCGCAGTGATACAGCCCAGCGGTGGCACCGTTATATTTGCGCGCGCTGCAACGTAGCGCGCGAAGTAGTGCGCGCGTAATCACGCACTGGGAAAAAAACATGCAATGCAGGTAACACAAACTTGCGTAGCCGGCTCATCAAAAGCGCAATGACTACATCAATCTTTCTTCATAAGCTTAATTTTGGTTTGATTAACCGTATACGTCAGGTTGCTTGCACATCTTCGATGCCCACAGAGGCCGAGTGGCTTTTGACGTCACATCGTTGGAGGCGCTGCAGTTTTGCGGCCAGTGCGGCGCTTCTCGAGTCGCGGTGTGTGTCGTGCCTTGCCTCCACTGTGCACTAAGTTCCAATTTGAGTCATGGTTGTCCTGTTTACTGACAGCTTAGTTGCAGCTACTTCTTTCTGAAGATGTCATGGTCACAGGGAGGTGAGTGTTGCCTTTCTAGGAATATGAGGTGCCCGAAATGACGATCAAACATCGACAAGCATCGCGCGCTGCCTCCGCTCTGCGGGTTATGGCTTTCCGATTACGCGGATAGCCGATTTTCGTGCGCTCGGTCGCGTTAACGTTGCTACGACGGAAGGAAGATCGCTCACAGTTGGGAGCACGGCGACGTTAACGTCAATATGGTCATAACATAATTATCCGCTAAATGGAAGGAAATGGGCCGGAAGATCGCAGGGCTTGCGAGACGCGCGCTGCGCGGAGCGGCGCCGTATTGATTTTTCGGTCGATGGGGGTTGGGCCCGCGCACTGGGTCTTCGAAGGTCGTTTGGCGCAGAGTTTATGTCACCGAAGTCGCGAAGAAACCGCAATGCTTCAAGCGGCGCCGATGTATGCGAACGTACTTCGCGGGTGGCATATTATGTCGAAAGCATCGCACGTCAGATGATGTGGAAGTGGACGACGGGAACACGATAACTTCGGATTTTGACGCTCGTATGTACACTCCACGATACACTCGGTGGGCGCTCGAAAACACGAAAGCTGCGGACGTATACACGTCATAGGCGCGGGTTATTGTTTTCCGTTTTTGTTTTGCTTCTCAAGCAACTCAATCTGCCATCAGCCGTGTTTCGGTTTCGCTGCAACTAGATCAGCGGGTTTCGAGCGCGGTGTACTGCAGCAAAGTGGATCGATGGGCGCGGCCGGCGCAGCTTGATCTGTTGCGTAGCGCAGTGGATTGTGTATACGGGCGGTCGGAAACGGGCATCACAAGCGTATCGTACAGCCGCCTACGCCTTTTCCTGTTTACGAGTAGCTGCCACTTTCTTGAACGTCAGGCGGGCACAGGACGTGTGCGTAGGTTGCGCGTTTGATCTTGACATGCTCGGTTCCGGTCGGTGAATCCGCGTCTTTTTGTCTTGTTTTGTCTGTGCACGAATGTTTGGGTATTGCGGCTGGTCTTCATGCTTGCCGTTTTGTATAAATGTGCTGCCTCGTTTGCGGTTTAGGCATGCCTTGCTCACGCTGCATTTACCAGCTAGAGATAGTTTCGAGCAACATACTTTTGTGCTCCATCTCGATTGATCATGTCTGTTCACCCACACCAATTTAACTGTATGCATCCGATGAGCTGTAACATACCAGGCATCGCTGCTGAAGCTGCTCTAACTGCATGAATATTGGCATCTGTGACAGGAAGTGCACCTTTCGAGTCGACATTTTATTTTGATCGGTGAATAGCAGCTTGGAAATACTACTATAGGCGCACACGAGATGCGGATCAATCATATGGACCCATTTACACATACTTAAGAGCTTTTGCCAGGTGGTGAAATACCAGATGAACACTTATATACGTTTTATCTGAGCTGCAAAAAGAACAAATAAAGAGAAGAAAATGCTGAGCACGTGTGTAAAAGCCATGCAGTACATAGAGATCATTAAATGCCTCAACACTCGCTGCCCAGAGCTTGGAGAGCAGGTTTTGTGGATGAATTGAATGCAGCAGCTGTCTGAAATGGCAGCCGAAATCCTTGAAAAGTACGACTGTAATATATACCTGCCTGCACAGCTGGTTTGATGCTGTACAAACAATGATATATATAAAAAAAGAAACATTCATGTGGTTCACATCCGGGTGCGGTGTTATGGTTAGCTGCGTTTTATTGTTATGCACGAATATTTATTTTCCTGTACCTTATTGAACTGCGCGAAGGTATGAGCCCTTTCATTACTGGGACCTTGTGTTGAAATATACTTGTGAAAGAACACTTAATTAATTTTCTACTACTTATTATCTCTTCATTTCTACATCTTAGCTGCATGCATTGTGATGGCTAGCATTTACTTGCTTGCTTCTTTCCAATATTTCTTGTTACTGTCTTTAAAACACATCAATTTTAATTAAGTTATATCAACACATTCCTTGCATATATACTATATTCCTTATGTTTGTTTTATTGCAACCACAATAGCATATAATTTGACAATACCATTGCTCTAATTGTACAAGCTTTTTAAATGCAGAATATTGAATGAATAAAAGCTTTTGAATAAGACTTGCAACTCCAGAACAAATTTAATATGTCATATATGTAAAGGACAGTGTTGTCAAAAGGAACAGAATGTGCCGAAAAAAGGGACATTAACAAGAAACAGTTATCTCTGGGTGCAGTATCAGCGTTCTAAATTCAGAACTTAGTATACTGATGTTTTTATTTTAATACTTGCATTATTGGCATGTACGTTCTAACAATTGCGAGGCAACTTCTGGGTACCTATTTAATTGTTCTCTTTCGTTGCCTGCGCAAGAAACACAACTGAAGATGTTGTGATATATGTATATATATATATATACACACACACACACACGACTTCAAGGGAATATCTGACAGGCCAGAGTAATTTTTGTATTGAGGCCAGACTCTGCTGAAACTTCAAAATAAACCACGTTCTACTCACAGACGATCTACTTGCTATGCCACGGCTACTCCACCACCATGCCTATATATTGACCCGTGTCTACATGTGGACAATAAACGATGATGGGGGGATTTAGCGGACACCAGGTAGTGGGCCTCTGGCTTGACTCGAGAACGAAGAAGACAATCTTGCGGCTCAGCTGTTGAGAACACGCTGCTTTTGCTGTCTCAAGGCGTACCTGTGCTTTGTTTGCGTTCGCGTTGTACCGCGACACTGGTGGAGGTGCGGGTATATATATATATATACATACATACATATATATATATGGGATATGGCACAACGGGAGCGTTGTCAACAAAGATAAATATATTTATTTCCCAACAGTTCCCATTGTGCGCTCCCGTTACGCCATATCCCATACCTTCACGAAGACTAGCTGGCCCATTGAATTATTACTCCAACATATATATATATATATATGAAGGTATGAGGTATGGCACAACGGGAGCGTTGTCAACAAGGATAAATATATTTATTTCCCAACAGTTTCGAAAGGGGTCCTCCCTTCATCAGGAGATGAGTTATACTGACATGAACTTCCAAACTTTGTTGCTGCCGCGTCCCTCTGTCCCTCTGTGATTTGTCCCTCTGAGAGGGACGCGGCAGCAACGAAGTTTGGAAGTTCATGTCAGTATAACTCATCCCCTCATGAAGGGAGGACCCCTCCCGAAACTGTTGGAAAATAATATATTTATCCTTGCTGACAATGCTCCCGTTGTGCCATATCCCATACCTTCACGAAGACTAACTGGCCCATTGAATTATTACTCCCCACTATATATATATATATATTAATGAACTTGCAGATAGCACATTTGAAAAGAAAATTGCATTTACTAACGTTCCGGCCGTGGCACGGCCTTCGTCAAAATATATATATATATATATATATATATATATATATATATATATATATATATATATATATATATATATATATATATATATTTATTTAGGCATTGTGGTGGTGTGGCCGTGGCGTTGCAAGTAGTCAAGTATATATATATATATATATATATATATATATATATATATATATACAAGGAGCTACAATATATCATAATAATGAATTAAAGTGAGTCTCATTAACACTATCAATTGTTTAAAGAAACTTTCCAGGGAATAAACAGGTAAGTAGAACAAGCGTCGGCAGCTTCGATGTGCAAGCCAGAGGTGATGTCCACTCCGGAATACGGAATAACTTCCTGCGGGCCATTTGATTGGCCCATCCACCAGTTCGAACATGGGTTGGGAAGCAATCGTGATACCGAGACTGATAAGCTAAATTAATTTAGGTTTTTTTCGTAGTAACTAATGGGCTTAAAGTAGTCAGGAGTCTTTAGGAGTTTTTTGGGGGGGAAACCTGTGTTTGCTTACCTTCACCATGGTGAGCATGGCATTATTTCGCAAAGCAGGAAAGCACACACTGGATTTTCAGCCATGGTGGTGTCACATTTTTGTTCATGGCAAAGTACAAGAATAACCATGTACTTATATTTAAGTGCATATTAAAAAACACTACAGGTGGTAGAAATTCACCAGAAATTACCCGCTTTGACAAATGTTTTTATCATTTGAGCACGTAAACCCCATAATAACAAATTTTTTTTTTTACAATTCATAATAACGAAATCACATTAGAGGTACTAATCTCTTACATCAGTGATAGTTGAAATAGAAAAAAAAAAAAACATTCATGGCAATTCAGCAGTGGTTGCATTTATTTTACAATACAATTTGGACATCTCTCACTGTCTTTGAGGTGACCTCATATTCATGCTAAGCAACCACATATAATCAACGGACGTCTCAAGTGTTTGGTGATATTCACTTTATCAAGTTTGGTCATCTGATATAAGTTGTGCAGTGCCAAAGGTTAAAATGTTCTTTGCATTAGTCAATGCAGCAATGTATTTGTGAACACGAGGTTTGTTGATGTGAAAAGTAGTATTTTTCGTGGAATGTTTCAAAAATTGTTGTGCTGCAAAATTTTACAGTGGCATGCGCTATAAATTTGTGTAAGTGTTTGATCTCCCTAATACCTTTCTTCATATTAAAAAGAAGACGTAAATGCTAGAGCTGAGCCTTTTCTCTTGCACTGTGTTTTTCTGCAGTCTCTCGAGTTCCTTTGCCAAATTGATAAGTTGCTCGAAATATTCAGTTTTTTGCTACGGTGCATGTGTGTATATATTAGTTTTTACAAGGTTAAACTTATTTTTACGCCGTTTTGCATGGACAGAAAAGGATTCACCATGCGCTACCTTCTTCATCTTCTGCTTTGCTCCCAGAAGATGTGCGCTGGTTTTTGCAATATGGGATGCTATAATACTGATGGTTGAGAGAATGAGCTTGGAGACAGAGTTAGAAAAAGAAAGAAAATATGGCCACAAAGTTTCTTGAGGCGGGATTCGAACCAGTGTACCCTTGATCCGCAGGCATGTAACATGACCACTCGGCTATCCAGGCCCACTAGCAGAGCACAACATTGCCTTGCACAG